CGGCTGTCAATCAGCACCCCAGGTCCCTCTCTGACTGGCAGCTCTCCAGCCACTCCTCCCCAAGCCTGTAGCGCTGCTGGGGGTTGTTGTGGCCCAAGGGCAGCCCCCGGCATTTGGCCTCATTGAAACTCCTCCAGTTGGGCTCAGCCCATGGCTCCAGCCTGTCCAGGTCTCTCTGCAGAGCCTCCCTACCCTCGAGCAGATCAACACTCCCACCCAACTGGGGGTCATCTGCAAACTGACTGAGGGTGCACTCGATCCCCTCGTCTAGATCATCAGTAAAGATGTTAAACAGGAGCGGCCCGAAAACCAAGCCCTGGGGGACACCACTCGTGACCAGCCGGCAACCAGATTTAACTCCATTCACCACAACTCTTTGGGCCCGGCCTTCTAGCCAGTTTTTTACCCAGCAAAACGTGTGCCCATCCAAGTCATGAGCAGCCAGTTTCACCAGGAGAATGCTGTGGGAAACGGTGTCAAAAGCCTTACTAAAGTCAAGGTAGACAACATCCACTGTCTCACCGTCATCCAATAAGCAGGTCGCCCTGTCATAGAAGGAGATCAGGTTTGTCAGGCAGGACCTGCCTTTCATAAACCCATGCTGACCGGGCCTGAGCATCTGGTTGTCCCGCATGTGTTGTGTGATGGTACTCAGGATGAGCTGCTCCATCAGCTTCCTGGGCGCCAACATCAAGCTGACAGGCCTGTAATTTCCCAGATCAATCCTTCCAAATCTTCTAATATATCGGCATCACTTTGGCCAATTTCCAATCTGTCAGGACCTCCCTGGTCAGCCAGAACTGCTGGTAAATGATGGAAAGTGGCTTGGCGAGCACCCCAGCCAGCTCCCTCAGCACCCTCGGGTATATCCCGTCTGGTCCCATAGGTGTATGTCTGTGTGATGCAGCAGGTCACTGACTTTCTCCTCCTGGATTGTGGGGCGGTCGTTCTCCCAGTCTCTATCTTGTGGCTGAGGAGGCTGGATTCCCTCAGTACAACTAGACTTGTTATTAAAGACTGAGGTAAAAAAGGCATTAAGCACCTCAGTCTTTTCCTCATCACTCATTACCATGTTTCCTCCTGTTTCTAGCAGGGAACATGGAGGTTCTCCCTGGTCTTTCTTTTGCTGTTGAAATACTTACAGAAACATTTCTTGTTATCTTTGACTTTTGAAGCCAGATTGATTTCTAGATTTAGATAAGATGTAAGGAAGAAATTTTTTACTGTGAAGGTGGTGAGGCACTGGAACAGGTTTCGCAGGGAAGTTGTGGATGCCTCCTCCCTGGAAGTGTTCAGTGCCAGGTTGGATGGGGCTTTGATCAACCTGATGTAGTGGAAAGTGTCAGGTGAGTTGGAACTAGATTATCTTTAAGATCACTTCCAACCTAAACCATTTCTATGATTTCTGAGCTGGAAGTCCTTAGATTTCTGGAAGCTTATTTGGGAAGACAACAATGAACTTTTCTTATTTATGTTCTTTTTATGCTGTCATTAGCAAGTGTTTAAAGGGAAATTACACTGTTAGGTGAACTTTTGATTTGTCTCAATATGGTAGGTATTATTTCAGTTGTCTTCATTACTTATCATTTTCCTTCAGTAAACTGTTAATCTGGACCTAAGAGTGTGTTGAACTGCTATTACCATGGCTTCTGGCAGTCATTCAGCTGTTATTTAATAAATGAAGAATGCATTGCACTCTCATTCAAGTATAAGTATGGCCTCATTACCTGTCTTTTAATAGTCAGGGCTTTTTAAGGCCAATTATTTGAAATAATTGAAACCTGTATCTAATTTACATGTCAGAAGCACAAATCATTTAAGTCTAGAAAATTAAAGGTGGGGTTTTTTTTGTTTTGTTTTGTTTGGTTGTTTTTGTTTTTTTGTTTTTTTTTTTTCATTTTGGTCATTTGATTAAAGACACTTCTGCAAATATAAGTAAAAATTTAGTATTTTTCTTTCCTCAGTCTTTTCTTTACTTTTTATTCCATGCTTCTGTTTCTCTCACTGGTGATGTCTGATTCGAGGATTGCTTCACTGCTACAGAGTATGTTGTCAAGTTCATACTCAAAAAGAGATTATTCTGCCCACTCCTTTCCCATAGAACTGATCTTTGAGGATGAGTTAGGGATTGTGCAGGCTTCACAGAACTCTGCTCTCTTCTTAGGCAGATGTGTCTGTATGAAGAGAATTGATTTATACGAAAATGGGGTGCGGGCTGAAGACGATGGGGGAAATGAAAAATGACTATGTTATAGGATATGAGAGTAGAAGAAAGGTAGACATATTAAAAAATATATTATATGAGGAGTGGTTTAGCCAGGATACTTGTTGAAAAGTTACTACTTTTTATAAACGTTTGTGCTGAAATCCACACCTGGGTTCCACACTGTTACTGTTAAAGGTAATGGAAGGCTAAAAAAAATCAAATTCTTAAGTCTGGCAAGGAAATATTAGCTGACTTATTCCACACTATGTTTAATTAGTGGCATTTTAAGAATATCATCTTAAAGTGAACACTATAATGCCTTTTAGGGCACAGTTCTCTATAATGCCTTGTGTTCTATAATTAGTACTTGCCCTTGTGCGTAGACCCATATGCATTGTTTATGTCGTTTAGCCTTATCAGTCATGGCTAAAATAATATTTTTATTTGTTCATACCTCAAATAGGGGAATGAAGTGAAACAAATTCTGTGAAATTGTAGTGGGTTGATCTTGGCTGGATACCAGGTGCCCACCCAAGCCTCTTTCTCACTCCCCTCCTCAGCTGGACAGAGGAGAGAAAATATAATGCAAAGCTCGTGGGTGAGATAAGGGCAGGGAGAGATCATTCACCAGTTACTGTCACAGCTAAACCAGACTGGATTTGGGGAAAATTAATATAATCTATTACCAATCAAATCAGAGGAGGATAATGAGAAGTAGAAACTAAATCTTATCTTCCCACACACCTTTCTTCTTCCCAGGCTCAACTTTAGTCCCAGTTTTCTCTGCCTCCTTCCCCCAAGCCGTGCAGGGGGATCTGAAATGGGAGTTGCAGTCAGTTCATCACGTCTCTACCACGTCTTCCTCCTCAGGGGAAGGAGTCCTCACACTCTTCCCCTGCCTGCTCCAGTGTGGCGTCTCTTCCATAGGCTGCACTTCTTCACAAACTTCTCCAACATGAGTCCTTCTGATGAACTGCAGTTCTTCCCAAACTGTTCCAGCACGTGTCATTTCCACAGGGTGCAGTCCTGCAGGCACAGGCTGCTCCAGCGTGGTGCCCCACAGGGTCACAAGTCCTGCCAGCAAACCTGCTCCAGCGTGGGCTCCTCTCTCCGCGGGGCCACAGGTCCTGCCAGGAGCCTGCTCCAGCGCGGGCTGGGTCTCCTTTGGGCATCCCCCTGCTCCAGCGTGGGCTCTCCACAGGGTCACAGCCTCCTTCAGGCATCCCCCTGCTCCGGCGTGGGGTCCTCCCCGGGCTGCAGGTGGAGATCTGCTCCACCGTGGACCCCCGCGGGCTGCAGGGCAGAGCTGCCTCACCATGGGCTGCACCGCGGGCTGCAGGGGAACCTCTGCTCTGGGCCTGGAGCACCTCCTGCACCTCCTTCTCTGATCTTGCTGTCTGTAGAGTGTTTTCTCTCACATACTCTCCTCTATCCAGCTGCAATTGCTGTTGCATAGCAACTTTTTCCCCTTTCTCAAATATATTTATCACAGAGGCGCTACTACCATCACTGATGGGCTCAACCTTGGCCAGTGGCCAAGCTGGCATTGGCTCTGTCGGACATAGGGGAAACTTCTAGCAGCTTCTCACAGAAGCCACCTCTGTAGCCACCCCCTTTGCCACTACCAATGGTTTGCCACGCAAACCCAATACAGAACTATCTTTTCCATGTGAGCTTTAATGCTGACAAAATTTGAAAATCTTATGAACTGAAACTTGTGAGTGATGCAGGTTTAAATATGTATTTACTAGAATAACAATCCCTTCTGCACAGACGGGTAACTCTGAAGCTTTTCCCCTCCAGTGCTCGTATTTTTATCAGCCCATACCCAACTATTTGTTATGTGAGTAGTAACTTGCAGGTGGCAAGACATGTGGATTTGTTTTTTTTTGCTTGGGTGATGTATTTTGTTTCTTTTCTGATGCAGTTACTGTTTCCAAGAAGTATGCTAATATTCACAGAAATTAAAACTTTTGGAGGTGACTACTATTAGATGAACATCTAAATCAGGTTAAGAAGATACTGATGGTATTTTGATGGATCAGAACTAACATATGTGCCTATCAGTTTTTTCCAAAATTCATGCATTTGAGAGAGCCTTACAAGAGCTCACTGAACATTTTATTTCCCAACTGTGTTAATGTAAGATTGATTTTTAAGTACATTGTTCCATGCAGGGGATTAAAATAATTCCTTCTGGTTTAAGGCAAAGATGCTTAGAATTTCTAATAATTAAGTCACAGATAACCTGTTGTCTATTTCAGCTGCAATACAGGACTTTTAAAAAGTACATTTTACATGTTTAGTTCATGTAATACATCAGAAGCATGAGCATGTAAATGTTTAAGAAAGAATTTTATACATAAAATATTTTCTTAAAAAAAAAGTCTGTATGAAAACAGGCAAAACTGCTGTCAATGAGAAGGATTTAGATGTATAAACATTATTTAGTCACCAAAGCATGATTTCAGCTAGATGCTTCCATAGTTTTGGAACCACATTTTAATGCAATGTTATTTAACCTTTTTCTATTTTTTTTTTCCCATTTATTAACAGTTATAGTGTGTGTTTTTTCTCATACTATCAAGTAAGGTCATTCTAGCAATTAGAAGCATAGTGTTTGGAAAAAATTTACTGTAAGATTTTTATCTGTTAATGAATTAGAAAAAGCTTGTGTGTTGTGGCCAAAATGTGTATTATTGACCTTCAATTTTTGGACCATGCTAATTTAGTTGTTCTATATATGTTTGATTCTTGAATGTTAAAACCCTGAACCTTTATTTCTTTTCCTTAGGATTTTAAGACAGGATTTGGCATCACTTTAATCTCTATGAATGTGGCAAATGTAAAACAAGTGGATCGGACTGCAAAGCAATCCTTTGAAATAATTACTCCTTATAAAAGCTTTAGGTGAGAACTTCAATATTTACATTACAAAATATGCCAATAACTAATACACTAAAGAAATACTTGCTTCATACTAAAGTGACTTATCTAGTTTGGATGACAAGGGAATATTTTCATTAAGAATGCTCAGAATTTTTTTTCCTTTTGTTTAGCTGTGTGCTTCATCTGTTACCTCCCTGAGTAGACAACTTATGTGGAAAGATATATATTTTTATGTAGACTTCCTTGTACACTGTGTGCAAGGGCAGAGGAAAAAAGTAACTTAAACAATCTGACACCATGTTAAAGAATAATAAACTGCAGTAATGAAATAGTGTTGCATCCATTTAATAGTAAGCATTTTATTTGAAAAGTGTAACTCGTGCCATACCTGGTAAAAATCCTTCATTGAAATCAGTAGAAAGTTTCACTTTGGCTGATGCTCTGACCTGTAATGATTTTTAAGAAAAAAGTATATGCTAATAAAGGCATTTTTTAAGTGTTGTAGTGTTTCTTAAATGAAATTTCAGTAATGCGTGAGAAGAAGAAATCACTTTGTTCTCCTAGACTTGCTAAATGTTAGCAAAGAGTTTCCTTTCACTGTCAGTTGACTAGAGCAGCAGGCAAATTAGTCTTGATCACTGATTTGAATCTGTGACTAGTTGATTGATAGCTACTTCTTTGACTTTCTCTAAGCCATCACTATGTTGATGTTTGTTCATTACTATTAATATTTTTCAAAAAGATCAGTTTAGATGAAAATAATTTTTGGCTGTTGTAGTTGCTAAGTCCATTTTTATTCCTAAATATGTCTTTGTGTTTCCTTAGGTTATTCTATGCTTTTGTTAAGTTCAGGTTTTAAATTTGGGATGTACTAACATAAAAAGATTGAAAGCAACACAGGAATGTAACTTGAGCTTTACAAAAGCTATGTAGCTCATGCTAGTAATGGTTTTGTTGAAAACTGAATACAAAAACAGAGAGAGATTTCATTGACTAAATATACAAAAGAATACATTCCATCTTTGTATTTATATCTGTGTAGAGGAAGATTTTTAGACTGTGATTTTGGGTGTAAATATAATAAGAGAGACTACAGACTATGTTTAATTGGGCTTTAAAATAAAGATCAATAACATAGAAAAGTCAATTGTTTCAGCTTTACAGCAGAGTCGGAAAGAGAGAAACAAGACTGGATTGAAGCACTGCAGCAATCGATAGCAGAAACTCTGTCTGATTATGAAGTAGCTGAGAAGATTTGGTTCAATGAGTCCAACAGGATCTGTGCTGACTGTAAAGCTCCCGGTCCTGACTGGGCATCCATCAATCTCTGTGTTGTCATTTGTAAGAAGTGTGCAGGTAGAGTAATTAATGACAGACTGTGTGGGTTCTACAAAATGTCATATTTGCATACCTGTGTGTGTCCTTGAATTTTATTTTTTTTTTCATTTTTTGCAGTGCCATCCTTGTGAAAGTTTTGAAAGTTTTGACAAACAAAAAGTGAACATAGTGCTTTTTTTTTTTTTTTTTTTTTTTTTTTTTTTTTAATACCAAGGTCATCCCTATTCTAAAGCACATCACATGACAAGTCTGTAAGGTGTTTGGTTTCCCTCAGATGAATAATCCTTCACAGATAGTGAAAATTAAGACATAGTAGCACTTGTGGGAAATGGCTGGCTTTTGCAAGCCTGGATGTTAAAGTATTACAATTTTTAGTGTATCAATTTGGGATATTCTGTTACATCAGGGTATATTTTACTCCTAGTAGAGATGTTTTTTTTAGAAATCACTAAAAATCTAGTTCTATCATGTTTTATATTTAAATATGTGCTGAAGCAGTAGATTCAGGGAAATAATTTATAGCTGTAGGCTTTCTTTCAAAACAAACCCTTCCAAAAGTGTTCTATATCAGTCTACTTTGTTTATTCATTACTACCAAATGCACATTTTTCTTTTTTTTTCTTTTATTTTATATTCAAATGTCAAATCCACCCTTTTTTTTAAAAAATAGCAATTATAATAAATCTGTCTTCATTAATTTTTTTGTTATCTCAAGAGAAGAATATCCCAATTTAAGTGTTTTAGTTAAGTAAAATTTCTCTTGGACTTACAGGACAGCACAGATCTTTAGGACCAAGAGATTCAAAGGTCCGGAGTCTGAAAATGGATGCCAGCATTTGGAGCAATGAACTTATTGAGGTATGTTGTGATATTCTAACTCTTTGTTTCATCTTGAAAGCTATTGCATGAATAATTGTTTATTGCTTTATTCACAAGGAAACTGAACATATAACTCCTAAATAACATGCTGCTGTTATAGTAAACTGGATGTTTCTGGGAATAATGTACCTTTGTGTCATTCAAAATACTCATTTGTTTTGATAACCATCTGTACAGTCTCTCTTAGTATATCTCCAAGCATCTAGGGTTTTTTTTTGAAAAAGAAATGAAATGCTTTTGGAGAGAGTAATCATGATGGGCAATATTGGGAAGGGGAAAAGAAAGGAAACTTCTCACTACCAGTTTAGTTGCTTGGGGTGTTAAAAATGGTGCTGATAGAGACTGTTGAGTCATCAGTATTTTCTTTAAAATGTACCTTAGTCTTATCTGACTTTTTACTGGTATTTTCTAACATGTACTAAAATATTATAACTGGTTAGCCTTGTAAAGTTTACTTGATTCTGATGGTAAATGATGACCACAGATTTTATTATTCATTTATAGATGACCATAGGCAGTGACTGAGAGAGGCTTCTGTCTCCTGCATGTGATTTTCTTTTCTTTATTAACTTTCTTTTACAACTTCTAGCGGCTGAAAACTATTTATAGGATAACTTCATATTCTTCATGCTCTTTTACTTATTTTTCTTCTTGCACATCATCTAGCTCTTTATCATTATTGGAAATAAGAGGGCAAACAGTTTTTGGGCAGGAAATCTTCCTCCAGATGAAGAGCTGCATATGGATGCCCCTGCAGAAAAAAGGCTAGCATTCATTACACACAAATACAAAGAGGGAAAATTCAGGAAAGCACCTTTTGCCTACAGAACCAAGGAACAGTTGAATAAGGTAATACTAGAATGGGTAAGCCCATACCATACCTTTTGTATTGGATTATATCAGTGTGCAATTTGGTCATCTTGTTAAACTGGTGAGAAAGAAATTTAGAAACCTGAATGACATTCTCACAGAATTGAATAAGGTTGTTTTGGAACCTTTACAGGACTCATTTAATGATTTCTTACTTCCTAGTTTTCCCTGTTCGTTTGTCTGTAGAAGGTTATGGTACCTATATGGTGCCTCTAAATGTCTTCCAGAGCCATCAATGAATATGGATCTTTATTTTTCTTCAGATGCAGACTTTAGGGATGCAGATTCACAATTGAGTTCTTTAAATTCCTTTGTTATGTGTTTTTCATATCCTATATCTCTAACATGTAACATTCCAGTACATTAGATGATTCAGTGTTATCAATGGTGCAAGTAGCTCATGTACACTTATGTAGTAGCTTGTAGCTAATTGGAAACAAGCTAAAATTAATGGTGAAGACTGTGTGTTCTCATAGTTTCCATTTACACATATAATACAAATTCTTTACAGTTATAAAGTGGAAAACGATAATTATAATTACCAATTTCTGTGTAATTTTTGATATCTCTTTGACTGACTTCTAATACCTGTTGATTTCGGACTCATGATTGTTCAGGGTTTATGAATATAGGAGAGTTTAACTGCATATATATTACAATGCCAATGCATTCAATTACATCAGTCAAATTGAAAGCCTCTGCAGAGACTGTGGGAAGGCAGTAACATTTAAAAGTTATTGTGGTTTGAACTAGAGAGATGTAATTTGTTTAGTATAATTGTGTAGCTACTTGTGGTTATAAGGTTTTGGACTAATATTTTGAAAGGAAAAAGATAAAGAGATTTGTTATGTTTATCTGTCTTCATGTATACAGAAATGAAAGGAGACTGATGTTTTAGGATGCAGCAAGATCTTTAAATCCCAAGGAAGATGATCAAGTATCAAGATACCCTAAAGAATAATTGCCTTATTGACTGTGATCACAGATTTGAAGGACTGTCTATGAATTTCAGTCTGTTTCATAGTAATAGAGTTTAAGGAACAAATCTTGTCTCTTTGGTTGAACTTTTAAGGTCTGAAATAATAAGATTTTTTTCTTTAGTGGTTTGGTGTATGAAGGAAAATGAGGGGGAATTATTCATATACACAAAAAGCTTCCCCTCCAGTTGTATTGATTCATGTTATCCTTTCCAAGTGAAATTTGTGGCCGCAACATCTTGCAGGGTTTGGGTTGATGATGTTTTCAGGTTTTCTTTTGTTGTTGTTGTTGTTGCTTTTTTTCTAAATTCAGACCATACTTTATGATTCCTGCTATTTCTCAGTGTTTATGGTCTTTGAAACTGCAGGGGAACTATATCGGAGGTGAAAGGATTTGCATCTAAATTACATGTACTTGTTGCCAGTAACTTTCTAATTTAAACCTTCTTATTTTTCCTCTCAATGATAAGGCCCTGTGTGCTGCCGTAGTTAAACAAGATGTCCTAGAAACTCTGATGTTGCTGTTCAGTGGGGCTGATGCTATGTGTGCTACTGGAGACCCTGTTTATAGTACTCCATACCTGTTAGCCAAGAAAGCTGGACAAAGACTGCAGATGGAATTCCTGTACCATAATAAGTTCTCAGGTAGGATAAATCCTCTTCGTTTTAATCTTCTGATTTTATATTGAGCAAAAGGAAAGGAAGGGGAGGAATTCAGAAGAAAAATTGGCGTTGAGTGAAACAACAGTGGTATAGTGGAGGGGAAGTTGTGATAGTGTTAACTGGATTTCAGCAAACAGGGTAATTGTGTACAACTTTTATTTTGCTCAGATATCAAGTTTAGGACTTAAAAAAATATTTAAAAAGACAGTGATGACCCATAGACCTCATACCCTTATTTATAACACAGAAAAATGTTGTCTGTTCTGCCAATAGTATCAGGCTTTTACAGAAAAGATGAGTATATACATTTAACATGTATCTCAAGTATTTATCTGAGGCTTCATTTTTTCTTAAAAAAATAATTAAATTGATATCTATCCCTACTGTACACAGACCTACCTGCTTTTTCACAAAATTTCCCCCTGAAATAAAACTCACCTCTTGAACCTGTAATGTGATTTATCCCAGCAAACTTTTTCACATCACAACTTCAGTTACAGCTTGGAGCATGCGATAAACTTTGGCCTTGAAAGTTGACAGTTCTGGTTGCAGCCTGTGACTGTTACGAGGTTCCTGAAAACAGAAAGCTATTCTTAAACAAACAAACAAATAAATAAATAAATAGCAGAGCATTGATGTGCCTGTATGTACATTTTGAAAGGGCTGTACAGTATCTGAAGCAGTTGTGGGAATTAAAGTTCACACGCAGATTTACACAGGAAAAAAAAAAAAAAAAGCTATACTATACATCAGCCAGCATTGTGGACAGACTTCTGGACCAACTTTCCATTGTCTTGTGCTTCTCTGTAAAGTAACACTGCATGGGCTGAACAACAAAAGTTTTAGTGGGAAACACTGGAATGGTTTGGGGCTTGCTAGGGCAAACATGGTACTTTTAAGTTTTGCCTGAACATTGCTCTATCACAAGTGCCAGACACTGGATTGTAGGATGTTGAGCTCCATCACTGTGCAAACATGCAGCTATGGGGTTTTTGCTAACTATGCTCTCAAGTAGTCCTAAGGCTACAGAGAGAGGTTTGCTTGTCTTGGCTCTGTCTTTTCTACTTTTAGCTTCCAGCTAAGGCAGCATCACCATGTGCTGGTGCTAGTGTGTGTTCTTTTCAGAGAAGTGGAGGTCATTGCAAGTTGGCAGGGATTCTCCAAATCATTGTCTGTCTGCTGCCAGAGTTGGTGGTAAACTTCTAGATAAGCCCTCGAGAGAAACAATTCCTTTCTGTTGAAGTATGATACATAAGAGACAAAACTAAAAGCTTAGTACACCAGAAACCCATATTTTAGATTACACTGGAAAGCAGTCGTAGACAATAGCAATGTTGTAACAAATGTGAGCAATGTGTTTTTTTGATTTGTAATAATTTTAATTTTAAAGATAAATCATTAAGATATATCTGTGTTGTAGTAAAGATATTACAAACCAACTATGTATCTAGAGATAAGTAGTTAGGAAGACCCTTAGAGAAATAACTGATACAACTGAAATTCTGTATGTTACTTACTCCTTTGTCTTTTAATAGATTTCCCAAACTACGATACTTGTTTTGAAACTGGTTTCTCTGAAGATTCTTTACATTCCACCTTTCTTTGTGAATTCTTATACAAAGTTTCTTCTAATAATGCTAAGCTGCTTACAGAGAAGAAATTAAAAGAAGGTATTTCACTTTTACATTATGCATTTGAATAATATATGAATATGTATGGTTTGGATGAATTTGGTTCTTTTTAACTTCTTGCATTCCTTTTTAAAAGATAAAATATCTTTGATATGACATATCCTCTTTTGATTCAGTTGATCTCTTTCAGATAAAGGAAATACTGATTGTCTTGATCTCTTTATTCAGTGGTTGACAGAGGAAAACTGAACTACTGAAAAATTATTCAGTTAACAACAGTTATTGATAAATAAAAAACACTTAGAAACACTTCTCACTTTAATTATATGTAGATGGATGATAATTGTCAAAAACTAGTTTCCATCTGAAATTGTAATATTCCAGAAATCATTTAAAAGTATCACTGACTTTTTAGTAAGAGTCCAAATGGCTAACCCCTAGGATATTTCTCAAGCTCACGAACTTTAAAAGTATTTCAAGTAGAAATGAGCACTTCCAACAACTTTACAACAAACTGAGCTTTGTGGGGTGAAAATGGGTGTACATCACAGTAGATATACGTGATTTTTTTTGTGTATATCAGTCTTCTGTGATTTTATTTTTTTTTTTTTAGATATTATAATTTTCTTAGCTGGCTTTTTTAATTTTCTTTTTTTCTCCTCAGTTGTGTTCCTTTGTTTTCTTATACTTAAGCAAACAAATGATATGGATTTTTAAAATCTGGGCTGATTTATGGTTGAGTTTATTGCTCCTAAAATCTTGATATGGCATCCTGTGTCAATACATACATATTTTTGTGTGATTATGTCCATGTTCTCATGGTGTATGCCTTTAAGATACTTAGTGGAGATAAACCATTGGGTGATGAACAGAACTAATGCCTGATCACAGGCATTTCCCAGCAACTTTGGAACTGTTAACAAAGATATCTGTTGTGGCAGAGGACAGCTGCTCGACAGGACTTCCTTGAGGATTGTTCTGAAACTTCACTGAGCTTATTCAGGAAGGAAAGGAATAACTGCACACCTCACTACTGCTTACTCTAAGTGCAGACCTTGTTTTCTGTGCTGTGGGTATCTATATTCATAAACAAACTTAAAAAATAAAAAGACCTCACTAATAGAAATAGGGAGCAGATACAAGGCAATACTACTGGTCTCTTCTAACACAGTGGTATGTTAGAAGTACCGTATAAGTTTGTAAACACCTGTATAGATTCAAGATTTAGCTATAAATGCTCACAGGTTGTCTTCTGTAGTGTTTTTTGGGCAGATGCAGTAGGATTAAGCATCACTAGTAGGGTGCCTTTAAAATATTTATGAAGAAAGCCCTCAGACAAGAAACAACTGAATTTTGACTGTCTTCCATCATAAGTTTTTAGAGGACAGAAATGAAGCTGCTTTGAAACCTTGTAGGCTATTGCATACCATTGCACTTACTACTTGGAGGAACATACAGTAAATGGAAAAGAACCAGATTTCCCTTAACTCAGGTTTTGGCCTTTGAAATTGTGATAGTGTCTTGCAGATGGTAGATGATCTGCTGTTTGTTTTTTGGGGGGATTTTTTTCGTGGTGTTTGTTTGCTTTGTTTTTGCATTAATGGCAAATTACCCATGTGTTTGTCAGGACTGATATTTCTGGGATGGATGCTTTACAGATACATAGGAAGACAGGCTTTCCTGACCATTTGCAGTTCAAAAAGACAAATGACAAATGGGACCAGGGAGGAAGATGTAATAATAACATCCTTTCAACAACAACAAAAAACCTCTGCAATTTTGAAATAGAAACTACTCTTGCCTGAGGGCAATAATATATCTCAGCCATGTGTAAGAAGTATTATGACAAAAGGGGTTTTTTGCTATTTAAAACATAAAACATGTAATCTTTTTTTTTCCCCTTCTATGTTGATTTTTTCTTCTCTACATCAAAAACTGTTTCTACCTTTATAAAATCTCTTTAATATGAAGTAATATGGGATATGCATATTGCACATTGTTGGGAATAGGTGGTAGTATTTCTTTATTCCTTCTTACTGTCTTTAGAAAATAATTTGATGATTACAGTACTAATGTGAGGGAGGTACAGTTTTGGATCCCTCCTCTGTCTGTAAAGATTCAAGTAAGAAGGTCACATTACCCCAAAAAGTGACCTAGCTGTTTAGTTCTAGAGAAGAGGAATAAGCTCTCCTATTGAAGCAGTTCTGACGCTGCAAATTGAGTTCTCACTGGGCCAGAGAGGGAGCACCATTCTCTCACTGGGGCTTACAGCACTTGTCTAAATTGTGGGCCCTGTCCCAAAGTACATTGGGCTTTTGATCTACTGATTTTTTTTTTTTTTTTTTTTTTTTTTTTTTTTTTTTTTTTTTTTTAATGCTATGTGTGGAAAGGGCTGCAAGCCAGAATCCTCTTAAGCTGTCTAACCATTAAACTAGAGTTAAGTTCTTCCTCAGTGTTACGAATCTCTGAGGCAGTTGTCAGCCTTGCTTTTGGTGCCAAGGGCTGAAAATGTAAGTGCTGTGTTTGTTGTCACAGAGAACATTTATCTCTTTTTGGGCTGAGCCCTAATGGTAAAAAGACACTAAAGAAATCATTCAGTGCTATGAATTGGGCCCAGGTTTTATAACAACTAGGTGGAACACCTGGAAATACAGTCCAGCTTTTCATTATGTGTGTTTCAGATAGTGCAGGAGAGAGTAAGCCAACTTTGTGTGTACTTCTTATTCTAGCAGCATCAGTGGCTTCACCAGGGGTGCATAACTTTTGAGGAAAGTTACTAATTAACATCTGTTGATGATCAGCAGGAAGAGAGCTCAAACACTGGTGCTCTTCTGATACAGTGTATCAAAAAGTAAAGGTTAGAGATTTAGTGGCTCAGGTTTGATTCTTTTTTCCTCTTTTTATAGTGTAAAAGGTTTTAAGGGGCCCTGTTAAAAGCCTTGATATTCCAAGATTGTCCTTGAGAGTTGTAACAGTTTAATGAAAATTGAAGCAGTGAGCTATTTTGTAGAATAGCCTTTGGGGGATGGGAGGGGAAAAGCTAGGAGACAAAAACCCCTAAGCAATCAAAATCTGTAAGTTTGGTGCTCAACTCCTGTAAACCTATACATTTTCAAACGTCTTATGTTTATTTTAGTATTTAAAACGTGTATTTAGATAGAATTAGATAGCAAGTAACATGATACAAATGAAGTAATGATAAAATAGTACCAAAATATTTATTAAACATGTATAGCAGAGATAGCAGAAAAACTAATTGGATGAAATATCAGATGTCGTACTAAGTAAATATTGGGTCAACTACAATACGTTTGGTTTCTTGCTCGATCTTTGTGGTTTCTTTCCAGAGCTGTTTTACCAAATTCTAACAAATACCGAAATATTTGCAGCTGTATAGGAGTTTTATGACTGTAGAAATTAAAAATATTTTCACTTTAGGCCTGCAGTGGTGGCAATAGATGCACTTCAAATTATATTCTAAGAACTAGATGTAAGCTAGAACGAATGCATGAATATTTTGAGTAGCAAATAGTCATTAATATGCTATCTTATGTGCTGCATTCATATTTTAGGTTCATAAGAGGGAGCAGACATTTGGTCTTAAATATGCCCAATAATACTTTTAAGTTGTTCTGCAGATTTTTTTTTTTTTTTTTTTTTTTTTTTTAAAGTATAGATGGCAATTACTAGATACACCAATATATCTTTTCAAAGTTATTTAAAGATAGAATTCTTAACTAGGTAATTTAACCATGCTCAACAACTGTAAATTGTTGCATGTTGAAAGCACCCTACAAATGTTCGCATTCTGTATGCTAGTGTTGCTAAATGAATTTACCCTTGCCAGGTATATGTGAGAATCGCAACAAGAGAGATCTCCAATTCATTCTAATGTGAACACACCATCCTGAAATGGCTATAGCTACCACCTGTCTACTATGTATCCGTTTATCTCCCCTCAATATAGAGGAATAAATTCTGTACAATATCATTACTACCTGGCACTTCGGCCTGCATCAGCAGAGAACTGAGCTCAACCGCTGATGTGCTGTTAGTTTTTCTGTTCTGCAGTTTGTCATCCTCTACTATTTTGGTAGTATATTTTAAAAAACTCAACTAATAATGCTAAATAACATGATTTCTGATAGTGTTTTCCTTGTGCTTTCTAGCAGCGTGCAGTGGATACAAGTTCTGGCATGTATGACACTGTTTTTTCTAGACTATTTGAAAGGCTTAAATTGTTTTTCTTGATCCTGTGACAGTGAGTGGACACCCAAGCCTTACCAATCAATGGAAAACAGATTGACTTGGTTTTGGCCTCTAGTTCCAGTAACATGAAAGAAAGAGTAGCCCTTCGTTGCTACCGCATATTCATTCGCTCGCTCACTTTGCTATCAGCTCTTGTCAGAATATATTGTTCTTGTAGCTTTCAATGTTTCTACCTTTATAGTGTCTTTCCTTTTTGCTTTCTTAACTCTATTCTGCAAACATGTAACATGAGAGTACTAACTCTTCCTCCATCAAGTTCCACAGCAAGTAAAAGCCCTATAAAATAGTAAAGTTAACTTATGAAATTATTTTAATATACTCATGTTATATTTGAAATACTCTTTTCTTAAATTAGTGTGTGTTAGAGTTTCTGTAGATTAAGTAGTATCAGCACAGACTTTGAATTCCTGGCGCACTGAAATCAATGCGACTGAGATTTCATCATAAATGTATTACTGCTACAACAGACTATGCATCCTGCGAGGCAGTTTCTATAGGAAGAGGTATTTTTTTATTATTATGCCAACTGACTTTTCTATTATTTCTTTAATCACAGATTGCAACAGAAGATGGTGCACTTTGGAAAGTGGCTTTCTAAGCTACTATGAAAATGATAAAACTACCACTCCCAGTGGTATGATTGACATCAGTGAAGTTATCTGTCTTGTAATGCACAAGTCAGACTTCTTTTTAAACAGAGGGTAGGTTCCAGAATTAATTTTTCAATAAACAAACACAGGTATTTCAAAGATTTTATTCTGGGTTTTCAGAGCTCTTCAATTGTTGCTCAATTTTGAATATGCAACTTAGAAAAAAGCAGAATTGTTTTATGTTAACTTCAAGAAATAAGTGCTAAGTGGTATTTGGGGATTTTAGTTTTTTATAGTGATATAATGAAAATGTTAGGGTAATTTAAAAGGGCAGCATAAATTAGATACATCTGTTTCTTGTTAAAACTGTAATGTATATTCTCAGTGCTTAAAAGGTTACATGATGATAAATTGAACAATTAATACTAATTTTTCTTTCTGGGATTGACCTCTGCCTCAAGCCAAAACACTTGCTTTGTTTCTTCCTTATAATAATACAGTAGATTAGAGTTCTCCACAATGCTTTTGGTTTTGGTCACATATCTATCTGTCTTTGAAATCAATTCTTTGTCCTGCAGCTGAGGACACTGTGTTGAACATTGTGTTAGTTTGAAGATACCAACTTTTTTTTTGAGGTCTTGTTTTTCTTTTATAACTCTCAATATACATTAAAAACAGCACATAGAGATTGAGCTAAATCTGAGTTGCATCTCAGTAGTAGTTGTTACTAGGACAACATTTTTGTTTAAACTCTAATTTGGATCTGTCTAACAAACTCCATAAGACTTCCTTTTAAATTCCTTTATGTGTGTGTATATAAAATAGCAAGATCTTTCTACAGTATAATACTGTAATGCATGTATTTACAGATCAAAAGTGTCTGCAAAGAAAACAGCCTATTCAGTAAGCTTCTAGAAAGGGTAATGGGAAGAAAGGACTTCAGTTACTCCAGAGGTAAAGGGAGTTCAGAGGGGAGAAATCCTGAAACATAGTGATGCCTCAATCTTCTATAAAATACAGTGGAGATGGCCTTCACAGTTCTGCAGTAGCATAGCTTCGTGATATCCAGAAAAAAGAAAAATACCACTTCTTTTGTCATCGAATATAATGTGTTTCCTGCTAGTTCTCCAAATGGTTCCACTTCAGGATAATACCTAAATTAAAAACATGTTGGCTGAATACTTCACTTTTAGGGAATGACTAACTTCCTGCTGTGATTTACCTGCAAATGGTAGAAAACTACTCAATTTTCATAGAAGTGAGGAACTTATCTAGATTTGGTATTTCATGTAATGAAACAATTGGTCCTCAAAATGTCTATTTTATTAGTCAGAATTAAGTATTTACATATAGTTTTCAAAGCGGTTGTTGAAAATGAGAGAACTGACTCATATTCCATTCTCCAGATTTAGTTGAATCTCCAGCACTGAAAGGAAAAAGCACATCTATTTGTATTCTAGGGAGAGGTCACAAATGAAATCATACTATAAATTGGTGAATCATAATTTGTAAGTTAAAGAGTGACCGTAAGTCCAACAAGATATTTACTTTTCAAATTCCACACCAATTTCAACTGGTTTGTTGTTTGTTTTTTGTTTTGTTTTGTTTTGTTTTGTTTTGTTTTACTTTTTATTATTCTTATTACTTGACTGTTAAAAATGGAAAAAACCCCAGGAACTACACCCCCAAAACTTTTAAGAACTTCTTGAGCTACAGCAGCTTCAAAGGGTAGTCATAAACACAACAGAACCAAACTCTTCTTGGCGGTGGCAGGTGATACGAAGAGTGGCAGTGACCACACATTTCACTTCAGGAGATTCAGGGTGGATGATAGGAAAAGCCTCTTCATTAGAAAGGGTGGTGGAGAACAGGAACAGCTTGCTGAGAAAAATAGTAGTTTTCATCCTCGAAGGTTTTCAAAGCTTTTCATTGCTGTTCTGATCTATGGTTAGTGATAGTTCTGCTTCGAGCAGGTGATTAAACCAAGTGACATCTAAAAGTCCCTTTGAACCAAGATTTCTGTGATTCTGTGGTACCTTGTGTCCAACTTCTCTTTCAATGAGTTGGTCTCCTTATGTTAAACCTAACCAAAATTTTTTTAATTCATCACAAAAATATACTTGTTGAAATCACATGAACATGCAAAATCAAAAAATTACCTGTGAGTTATAATGACTATATGTAAACATTTTATTAATTTCAAAATTACTGAAAAAACTATTATGTAGTAGTCTCTAACCATGTATTATTGACCTGAAAAGCACTATGATCATGTTGTGTTATAAAATAATCGGTCGTTAGCTGGGTTGTGCTTGTAAAATAGGAGGAGAAATGCAGATAGATTCCATTCCATAGATATGAAATAATGAAAAAGTAGAGAGAGAAATGGGACCCTTGTGTGTCTACTGTTATGAAGACTAAATACAGCTGCTTTTTTCCATTGCTTGCTTTAGGGACATCTTTACTTTTGAAATCTACTTAATGTCAGAACGTGTTTTTCTATTTGGAGCTGAAAGTGCATATTCACAAAGAAAATGGACTTGGGCAATAGCGAAGGTAATACTGATAATTATCTTTTCCAGTTAGGCCAGAAGCCTTTGCACAAAGAATAGTCATTGGTAGCTTAAAATCCTCTAAGAAGCCATTCTTGATGAATACTGATTAAGCTTGTGTGTAAAGGTTTCTTCTGTTCAGGAAGAAATAACTTCTGTGATTTAATGTTTGAAATAAGATAATAAAATAAAATGGAAAAGGTATTGAAGTAATATTTTAATGCTGACCTTAAGAATATGTTAAAGGTTCTCTAGTATAAAGACATATGAGTTTATTTCAGCTAAGTTGTTTATGGTTCCAATTCTGTCATTTGCTGAAGCAGAATTCATAAAGCAGTACTGTATTTTATACAGTACCAAATGGTAATAATCACACTATTAATTAAATCAATTTTAGTTTAAAAACCAAAAATATTTGAATTCTGGTGTATGAATGGAAAAATATGTTATACTTGATTTTATAATTTAAATTTAGTGTATATATGGGTTTATGAATGATAAATCTGAAAGTCTTATTTTTTTTTTACTGTGGCTTTCATCCTTGAATCTTATAGATTTGCCATGTCTTGATTTTTTTTTTTTTAGGGGAAGAGGGTTTTTTTTCTTCATCTGACTCACCCCATTTTCTTTGGTAGCATTTTGTTCCCCCTGTGGCTGAATGCTTATTAGAGAGAGACTGTGACCTGATTGGACAGCTATACTACAAAGATTGCCAGAACCTGGATCAGTGGAGAAAAGGCTGGTTTGCTATAGAGAAGTCAAGCCTTTATTTTTGTCTTGAAATCAAGAATGCTGAAGAAGATTCCATATATCTAAGGAGATTGCAAGAACTAAGTAAGAATTTTGTTTAACATCTAGAAGTCAGGAAATACTGTACAGAATTATTTCACTGTTAAGGACATTTCTATTACATTTAAAGTAAAAAACATTAGGGAGCTCAGTAACTATTCCTTTGCATGAGCCAGATGCTCTTCCAACTCTCATCTGAATATGGAGTTGATAAAGTTCTATCTTGGATTTTTTTCCCTACTTAGTGGCACACGCTGGAGAGGCTTTTTCACAGCTTCATAATGAATGAAGACAATTTTTGTTTCACTTGCAGCAGTATCTTTCTTACAAGAGTACAGAATTGAATAATAACATATAACCTTTTGGGATTATTGTCTCATATTTTTGACAGGGTAGAAAAGCTCACTGTAGAACGTGTTCTTGAGATGATTGACAGGACTAGTTTTAAAATACTCAAATGTACTGAAAAATAATAATTCTCTTGGAAAACTATTTCACAGACATAGACTTTTATTTTTATCTGATACTAAAAATATTCTTTGCTCAATATCATGATGTGGAAAAGTAAGCATATTTATACAAATGGTCTTCTATGACCAGTTTTATATCATTGTCTGCAATTATTCTCTGAATCTTCTTTAAGCATATCTGCCCTATTTGTTTTTATATTGAACAAGGCAATATGTTATGTAGAAAAGAAGAAATAATTCGAGATTTTATATTAAAGTAACATAGAGAAGACAATTTAGCTCTTTATTGATGATCCCCTTTGTAACTGCTGTCAGATTGTGTACTGTTTTGCAGGAACTTGCCTAAATGCCATTGGGCTTTCTACTGTTTATTTACTGCCGCCTTACATTTGCTGTGAAGGTGGTTTTTAATCAGGGGTATTTTTATGCCTCTAGCTATTTTTAACTTGTGAATACTTTTTGATCTTGATTCAGAATTAAAAAGTTAGGCAGTATGAGAACTGTTTCTGATATTAGTTTTGATAATTCAACTGTAATTGCTCCTACCCTAATCATATGAGCATCCAAAATCTATTTATATCTCAAATTGTCGTAGTTTAACCAGGCAGACAGATAAACACCATGTAGCTGCTCGCTCAATCCCCCCACTCTCTCAGTGGGATGAGAGAGAAAATTGAGGGAAAAAAGTAAAATTCTTGCATTGAGATAAAGACAGTTTCATAGGACAGAAACGGAAGGGGAAATAGTAATAATAGTAGTAAAAGAATTAGAATATGCAAATCAAATGATACACAATGAAATTGCTCACCACCAGCCAACCAATACCCAGCCAGTTCCTGAGCAGCATCCCTTGGTCAGCTTTCCCCCTAGTTTATACACAGAGCATGATGTCATATGGTGTGGAATATCCTTTTGGCCACTTGGGGTCAGAAGTCCTGGCTGTGTCTCCTCCCAGCTTCTTGTGCCTCCCAGCCTACTTGCTAGTGGGGTGGTCTGAGAAGGGGAAAAGTCCTTGACTTAATGTAAACACTGCATACAACTAGCAACAACTTAGCAACTGCATACAACTTAGCAACACCCTGTGATCCGAGCCCATCTACATGTTGCATCTCTTCCTTGACAGCCTGAGGAGTCATGGGCTATAAATAATTCACCCTTGTGTTGCCAGTCCAGATCCACTTGAGCCATTTCAGTCTTAGCAGCCTGATCCACCTGCTGGTTGTTTTGATGTTCTTCAGCAGCCCGCCTCTGGGGTACATGAGCATCTACGTGATGTACTTTTATAATCAACCCAAGCAGCAATATCTTGTCATAGTTCAGCAGCCCAGATGGGTTTACCTCTGCATTCAAATGAAACACACATTAGCTTGTGGTTGAATTTTGGTTTTGATTGGTTAGATTTTTAAGTATTAGTTGTATAACAGAATTATATTTCTTGACATTATATTATATCCATACTCTTCTCTTTTCTTTCATTTCTGGTTTACCCAGATTAAGTCTGCTGCACTACTAAGACTGAATTATGTAACTGAAACTTGCAAAACAATGAATCATCAGTGGAAGTATATGTAGTCACTTACCTTCTTGATATTTGCCTCAGTAAATATAAATGAGGCAAGGAGTATATGATACAAATCCATCATATAGCATGCATCAGAATATGTTTATTGAAGTTCATTGTTATTCAGGACTTTACTGTCTTTGGGAATTAGTTGAGATAAGGTGTGGATTATCTATAAAACCTAAACTTCAAAAGAATTAACTTTTAAGAATTTTTAATTAGTAAACAGCTTACATTTTTTTTTTTTTTTTTTTTTTTTTTTTTTAGTACAGTGCATAGAATAGTTTTAAAAGCACTGTTTCTTAAAACTATCCACATGTATTTTCTGTATTATGTATAGGTGTTTTTCAGGGAGCTTTTTTAAACAGGAATATCATAAGACAACAAAAAGAAGGGTGTCAATGACCTTCACTATATAACATACAACTCATGTTATGTTACTGTAAATATTTGCAGCCATTAGGTTTCAAGTAAATGAATGGATTAAAAAAATCCATCTTACTTCTGAATCATTATGTCTTCTAAAACTTCTATTTGCAAGTTTGATTTTAATATAATAAAACACTGTAGCATATTTTCACATTAAAAAGCACCTGTTTAACTTCTCTTATAATTTTCTGTATTGTTTGCTTGTAACTGTGTGTTGTAGTATTTTGTAGAGTTTTGTTTCTATTATCAGCAGTATTCTTTATTTGAAATGTTTAAGAATTCCATGCTCCTTTTGTCACTGAAGATAATTTTGAAAAAAAAATTATATGTCCATGCATGTATGTGTCTATATGTATGTGTCTGTGTAGATCATATGAATATGTATGTATTTTCTTTTCAGCAATCAGTAGTGTGATGCAAAATGGAGAGAAAATAGATGTCCTGCTGCTCGTTGAAAAAGGAAGGTAAATTTCCCATCTGAATGAAGCTTTGATCTGCTTTGATATTGATGTCTTAGAATTCTTGCTGATCAGTCATGGAGCTTTTTCACTTGCAGTTGCTAGAGAGGGAAAATTTGCAGACTTTTTAAAGGAGTGAAAGTCTTTGTGTATTAATTATGTTTTATGTCTGTGTCAGGAAATGCTAACAAGTATTGCTTAATTAAAAGCAGTTTTCCCACTGAGAAAATTATTCCCAGTCAGATTAGTCTGACAATAGCAGTTTCTTCAAAAGGACCTAACTTTTACCCTCTGAAGAAAGAGTACCTCTTCAGAGCATTTACCACTTAGTTCTCCATTTTTTTATCGCTTCCCAGAATTCTGTGTCTCAATCTATCTAGGTCAGGATTGAGAGAGTATGTGTGAGCCCCCTGGTTAGTCTTACTGTTATGTCTGATCTCAGTTAACAACATACTAGGTAGAAAAAAACATACTTGTGAAGCAAACGTGATCCATATCTGCTCCCAAGTAGGTAATACTCTGCTGAGATGACTCTGTCAAATATGGTAATATGGGAGTTTGAAACTTGAAGTGAGATAGGGTATTTCTGCCTTATATGTGGATACAAATTTAAAGATTAAAGTAATATTATATAAAAAAAAAATTATTCTGTAATAGGTTGGAGTTTTTTTTATTTCAGTGATAGATTATTGGGCAAACGTTTGTGTAAGAAGTGGTGCAGTGTTTACAGTCTTTGTAACAAGCCCAAAATAGGTTAATAAAGGAAGATTGATTTTCTGTTTGGGGAAAAAAAAAAACCAAACCCAAACACACAGATAGCTTTGACATCTCTTCAGAGTTGGAGAAACCTTCTGGAAGAAACTCATTGTAACTTGTGTGTTCTGAAATTTAATGCTTCTTGAGATACTGTTTAAGTTCCAGAATTCAGTAAGGTGATGCAGATCAAAAACAAACACTTTTTCTGGTTGTTTTTTGGTTTTGGGTGGTTTTTTTTTGTGGTGGTTGGTGTTTTTTTGGTTTTTTGTTTGTTTGTTTGTTTGTTTGTTTGTTTGTTTCTCCTGAAGAAGCATATTAAAAGATTCAGCATTAAGTAAGCTGCATAGAGCAACCAGGGAACCAGAGGTATCCTATTCAAGATGCAGTCCAGTAGATGAAAACAAACTGTGCATCTAATTTCAGAGCTATCACTGCTGAGCAAAACTTCTAGCTCCAAGTCAGTTTTTATTATTTCTTCATAATAATATTTATGTCAAGTGAGGGTAGGTTTTCGCTGAGCTACTTTAATAATTTAATGGAAATTCTGTACTATTTGGAAATAATTTCAATGGGGGCACTGGCTGATTTGTGGTGGCCATGAATAAGTTTAATTTTTCTTCACTGAAGTCTGCCATAAAGCATTTAAATGCATAGGGTTCACATTATCTTAACCATAAAAGCCATATGGGTATATATGCTTTGGCATAGTGATTCTTGCTTAGGATATTACTCCCAAACTATCCAGGTGTTCAGCACAGTTGCATGATATTGCATCTTGCAGTGATAAGAAATTTAATATATGTGTGTGGAAAATGATTAAGTATAAAATCATCCTCATCTTTAGACTTAATTATTGTAAATGGAAACAAAACCAGCAGTCCTCTTTGTGCCCCTTCACACCTCAGATAAATGAATTAATACCTTTGAGGCGCCATCAGCATCAACAAAATAATGCATCATACTTTCTAGGTTTTCCTATTTGTCTGTTATTTTATAGCAGTGTTTGTCTAATGCCACCTTTGGCATAGATTGATGATCACTTGGAAGAGACCCTATATAATAATCTATTGACAACTTTCACATTGATTTGTTAGTCACTTAAAACACAGGGTAAATGGTAAAAAAAAAAAAAAAAAAAAAAAAAAAAAAAAAAAAAAAAGTATTGGTATTGCAAGAATGAACAAAACAAGATTTTTCCAGAATTAAGAAAAGTTTGAAAAAAACAAAATACCACCCCCCCTTCTTTGGATAAAGAAATAAATGTGATCAGTGTCTTACAATATCTTTCTAAATTTCGTTAGAAGAAATGCTTAAAACACCTTGAGTAAGCTCATACTGTACTACTGTACTGTTAGTTTTGTTACTGACTTCAAACTAACTTCCCATTACTTACAGATATGTATGCCTTTTTTTCCAAGTCTCAGTTATTGAATTGATTAAATAGGGAAAATAATGCATTACATGTATCATATATCTTTTGCTTTGACACATTTTTCATTGGCTACTGTGGGCAAAAGAATGACTTAGGTTGTTACAAACTGACTTAAGAGTGATTTCATATGCAAGTAAACAGTTTCAGAACTATAAAAACTTCCAAGTCTTAGTGCTGAAATAATTATAATGTAATAAATCTAAGAATTCTGGACCTTCGAAATATTTAATAAATTTATGTGTATGTTAAATTCATGGGGTACATAAATTTAAAGTTCATCTGATTCATAGCTACTCAGAGGAAGCGTTTAGAATTGATTTTGGGCTGCAAGGTGCATAATGCTATCCAGCTTGTATAAAATACAAGAATTCAGAAAGAATACTATCAAAAGTCCTGTGAGATTTTTCTGAAGTAGCTTAGATATGGATACACTTGTCATGTTTTGAGCCCAGAGGGAAACTGAGCATTGTGCAGCTAGCTGTTCACTCACCTCTTCCCCCTCAGGAATAGGAAGGAGAAGATAAAGGAAAAAAACCTCAGGAATTGAGATAAGAACATGGAGGGATTACTCACCCATTATGGTCAGAGGCAAAAGACAGATTCATTAGGGGAAGAAAAAGAACATCACTTTAATTCAAACACTAACAGCAACAACACCTAACAGACAGAGTAGGACAGTGAGAAGCATTAGCGCATCTTAAAAAGACTTCCCCCAATGCTTCCCTTCTTCCTGGGCTCATTTTTATTTGCTCTCTACCTCTTCTCCTGCAGTGCTTCACAGGGCAGGGAATGGGGTTATTGTCAGTTCAGTGCTCCTTCCTCCTCAGAGGGAGGCTTCCTCGTGTTCTTCCCTGCTCCAGAGTGGTGTCTCTGTCACAGGAGACAGTCCTCCATGAACTTTCTTTGATGTGAGTCCTTCCCATGGGCTGCAGCTGTTCCCATGCTGCTCCAGCATGGGTGCCTGCTGCGTGTTGCAGTCCTCCCAGCACTGAACTACAGCAGTGGGGTCTCCTTTCCACAGAGTCCCAGACTTCTTCAGGCAGAGCCGCTTGCTCCATCTTGCTCCTCCATGGGCTGCAAGTGGGCATCTGTTCCACCATGGACCTCCATGGGCTGCAGGGGCACAGCCTGCCCTCTCGCCACAGGCTGCAGTTTGGGTGTCTCTGTTCTGGTGCACCTCCTCCTCTTCTTCCTTCATTCTTCCACTGACCTTGGTGTTCACAGAGGTGTCCTCCTTGCAACTCCTACTCACAAGTCCAACTCCTCCTCCCAGATTCCCCTTCTTAAATATGTCATCACAGAGGTGCAGCCGCCATCACTAATTGGCTCAGCCTTGGCCAGTGATGGGTCTGACTTGGGAGCCAGGGGAGCTTTAAGAAGCTTTTCACAGGGGACCACTGCTGTAGCCCCCTCCCCCGCTATCAAAAAGCCAGCCACACAAACCCAGCACAAGTCCACTCCTGCCCCTGTTCCCCTGCCAGCTGCTTCCTCTACCTTGTTTTATACTTAGCAACTTGGTTTTCATTTATTCTCTGACACATTCATCAAAAGAAGATACCAGCTCAGAATTAAGAGGTTGTAATTATACTATACATTGCAAAGTAATAGCATATCATGAGAGGCTGAACCAGGCTAAAATATTTTCAAAGCAAAAAGACTTTCTCTTTTGAAGATGGTTGGATTTTTTTAAGATCAGTGTACTTCCTAAATTTTCACAATAATCCCAAACTTTCTCTAATTCTAGATTTTTTTTTTTCAGATCTCAAAGTTATTTCATGTTTGTCTTTGGGTATCTTTGCTAAAGTAAATTAGAAAGCAAGACACTCCCTTGTGTAGCACCTGTTGAAATTTTCCTGCACTCTGATCTCTGTTGGAACATATTGTCAACCTGTTAGAACTATCTCCAACCCAGCTGGAAATCCTGACTTCTCACAACACTGTTTTCTTAAGCCATAATCAGACGGTCATTCACCCTCTCTTATGTTCTGCTTTCATAGTTAAAATGCTTCTTGACTTCTTGCTAGAAATGGCAAACCATTTTCCAGATTTCTGCATCTGATACTTCTCTCTGTCACGTAGAGATGTCCTCTGATTTGCTTCATATTCAGTTTGGATTTTTTCCCCTTTAATCTCTCCTATTTGTAAAATTCCTTAAGTGACTGGTGATACTTGGTCTCTTGTTGCCATCCAAACAAGTTGCATAGTAGATAGGGGAAGAAGCTACTCCTGGGGTAGTTCAACAGAAGCCAGCAGAGGGATCTGTACACTGAAGAGAGGAAAGGTGTCTGAAAACAACTGTATACAGTAATTTTAAACTATATCTTCTCACTACAAAACATAATGCAAAATCTCTAAACTTTACAGAAGAAGAGTTGTGCAGTTTTTTTTTTTTTTTTTTTTTTTTTTTTTTTATCATTTAAGCTCTCTCTTAGGTGAATGTTTTCAGACCATACTGTAATCCAGATGGTGCTTCTTTTTTTTTTTTTTCCTTGCTACAGTTTTCTTGTAGTTAGCTCTTTCTTATTATAGATAATAAGCCTTCCCTACATACTGGCACAATTTCCCTATGCTGATGGTTCATTAATTACAATGCTTTCTTCTTAACCCTTTGATTACAGCAGTAAGATATGAGCACAAAATTCTAGAATCTAGAAATAACCTGAACATAAGACTCAGAGGAATGAAAGGACTTGTGCTTCCAGGATGATGTGATGGATATAAGACCCTTAATATCCTGTGAAGAAATATTGCTGACCTTTGTTATATATCTGTAATTATTAGTGGAATTTCCATGCTTTAGTTGCAATTTGATTATTCTGATATAATTTCATAACATTATCATACCTTCTTGGTACCTCTGTTTTCAGATTATTAGAATCACTTGAACATTGCTGGCGGGCACTGAGTTCTGCTGATGTCTGTTTCTCACCCTTCTTCCCCCCAATCCTTACCCAGAATCACTTAGTATCACTGCTTTCCCAACGCAGAGTTGTGCAACAAAGCATAGCTAAAGCTAGTAGACTTTGCAAGATGGGTTAAAGATAAGCCTTTGCGCTGTCGTCGATGAAGTGTGCTCATGTATGTTGTTTGTCTGGCTACTGGTGTGGAAGGATGTGATGATAGTCCACAATAAAGTTGAAAAGCTAACGGTATCCTCCTTGATGTTGAGACCAGGTGATCTTGAACTGCTGTAGTCATTTGTGCCAATCAGTTGCCTCAATTCACTAAGGCAGAAATCTACCTTGGCGGGCCTTATTGTTTGTTTGAGTACATAAATTATTAATGTCTTGGGTATGGACTGTATGTGCCCAAGCACTTAACAAAGCAAAACCTGCCATTATTCACTGTGTAGTCACTATTGCTAACTATTTGTTGTGAAGTATCTTCTTTTTATCCATTTTTTGGACTGGAAGAAGTAACACATGCATAAACATACCGTAGAAGGCACGGAATTTATATTGTAGGAATGCATTTCAGTTCAGAGTGTGCAAGGTAGTTGTTATTCTGCATGATAGGTAGATCTTTGTAAACATTATAGTAAAATTTCCTTCAAACATGGTTACTCCTATAAGCTTAAAAGTATTCTTGACATTATGTTGTTCAGTTTTGTGGTACGTGGGACCCTTCAGCCTGTGTTTATATGCTTAATCTTAAGCCTTGCATTTAGTATAACTTTATATTTTAATAATAGCAATTAGTTCAGTGAGAAATACATGTATTTGTTATTAGTACTGTCTCTGAAAACTGGAAGAGATGATGTCATTGACATGAAAAGCAGAAGCTAGATCTGAAAAGTTGTCTCTATTACTTCATTAAGTTCTGTAGACTTCTGCTCTGCTTTGAGGAAAGTTCTACTTTTCTGCTGTTAACTGTTTTCATACCACCTTCCACGTTCATGGAGATCAACAAATGGTTTCCACATAGGAAAATATGTTGTTATGTTTGGCTGAAACTGTTAGAATTAGAAGAAATGATTAAACTTCTTATTCCTACATTGTTGTATGTTTTTATGATTTAAATGTATGCTGGCTGTGCCCTCTGTCAAAAATACTGTGGTTTGAGATGAGCTTTCTAAGCCACTTCCACAGTAAACTGACTAAATTCTGAACTGTGTCTGGTACTGGTTTCATTTCCTTTTCTCCCTTCTTCTTTTTTATGGTGTTGTGGTAAATGCTAAAATTGCTTCTCTAACTTGCCTGACTTTCTTTAGGTGACTGAGATTCTTGACCAAGCAAAATTAATAATTTTTTGGAAAGTAATTAGTTACCTTCTATGAACAAACTGAGTTCCATAATGGCATCAAGTTCTTTCACATTTATATTTTTTTAAGACAAAAAATGACAGTGTTGGTGCTATAGGGCTGCTACTTAAACAGATATCCCATTTTCTTTGTTAATTATTAAGTAACGTCTTCCTCTGTAATTTGAGTTTAACTCAACAGCTTTTCAAGTTTTAGAAAACAATGAGACTATCATCTCTTGGTAGTTCTGATACTTCTTTTCTAATGTGATGCACTGAGGGGAAGATGGGAAGATTCATAGAGTACAAGATGGTCTTTTTCACATAGTTTAGCTAATTCATATATCAGAACAGTTGACTGACAGGCACATGATATAGACTTTCATATCTCTGTGATAAATACAGATAAATTCAAATTACATTTGAAGTTCAATGCACTACTGTATTTCCTCTCTCCTCCTCTGCTACTGATTCATTCATATACAGCAGAGTTGCCCTTTTCTTGTTTAGAATATTTTCACATTACAGTATGCTGCTTCCTGTACGTCTCATAATTCTTTAGGTAACAAAAAATAATATGTTGAGAGTTCAATTTATCGTTTTGCATAATACTGTAATGCAAATTCACCTGTTCTGCAGGGAAAATAAAACCACAGTAACATGCATATGTGTGTACATCTCTTGTCTTGGGAAGAACCATAAATCTTTTATAAGTCATAGTCCTAATCTGCTGATCTGTGAATAGTAGTACTAAAGGGATAGTGTAACGTGCACTGTCAGACTCTCTTCCAGTCAGTTCAGACTTTTTCATTTCTTCTTCTCTGTGGCTACAGCAATACTCGAGGATGTTGGAGTGATGTGTTGCTTTGGAAGCCATTGGTTGAGAACCGCCCATGTAGGATATCTGTTCTGACAGGTCTTCAGAAAATGGCTGACAGTATTGAATTAGGCACACTCATTTTGCTGTAAAAACTTGAGAGCTTTATGCAAACTATTGTCCTTTCTTAATGGAAGAGAGAGGCTGAGTGTTTCTACTAGCCAGGCATGTATGGTGGTTAATAGGACTTTTGAAGTCATGAAGTAGAGACTTTTGAAAAAAGCAGCTCTAACTAAGCTGAAGTATTTGTGTTTCCTACTCTGCTGCTGAATGGCTAAGTCTGTATGGTGGATCCTGAGAATACTTCAGATCCTGGGTCTGTGCATGTACCTTGCATCCTCACTTCCTATCAAGATACAAATACTAAAGGGAAATGTTTATAAAAGCAAAATTTTAAGATGTTATTAAAAAAAAAAAAAAAAAGAGATTATTCCATCATTATATAAAATGTTTTTTTCTAAATAAAATAATCAAAATTAATATTTGTTTATATTTGGATGAAAGTATTTTCATAGAAGTTCAATAGAACATTTTAACTTTTCTTAATTAGTTGTTGTCATTAAAGAAAAAGAATCCCTTACATTTCTTTAGTGGGAGACAAAAGAGTATGTATGTAGAAAGTTTGTTTGCTCTTTTAACACTTAAACCAGTTGTTTATTACATACATGCATATGGGTGGACATACACTCAAACTTTTCAATTTTGGCACTGTCTCTTAGAAGCCTGCCTGTCAGGGTAAACGAAGGGATGATTTCAGCGTGTTTAAATAATAAAACCAGGACAGGGCCATGCTTTGAGATGAACAGGTAATTAAAGTGTTGCTTTAACTCACTTTACCTCAACTCTTAGTTTTATCATACATTTTGCTTAGCTGTGTGATTTACTGAGCTGATCATTTTGATACATGTGTAGGAGGGAAGTTCAATATGTTTCAGCTCCTCTACAGAAGTGGGAAGTGATGGGGAATGGAGAAGAAGGAAAGCCTTTTCCATGTTGAAGGTTGTCTCTCATTCTCTGTTTCCTGCTTAGCTGTGGACTTGGATTTATTAATGAACAATATAGGAGCAAGACTAAATAAGAGTATTTAAAATGTTGGTCAGGTCCTTTCAAAGGCCTGTAACAGTGTTTGTGGATCTTTTTTCATTTATTTTGAGAGTGCAGGTACAAATGTAGTTGGGGGAGAAAAAAAAAAAAAAAGATGCTGTTAACAAATAGCTACCACCACAGCTTTATGTGGTTGAAGGTGCCTTGATGTCTTATTCTAAGTAGTTTGTTTTTTTTCCAGACATCTGCTATGTTGCTGTAGTACAATAACATCACTTTTATATTTCTTTCCTGCATTCAAAATATTTTTATACTTTTCAGAACGCTATACATCCATGGCCATACGAAGCTGGATTTCATGGTCTGGTATGCTGCAATTGAAAAAGCAGCAGGTACAGATGGTAATGCATTACAAGATCAGCAGCTCAGCAAAAATGATGTTCCTATTATAGTGGACAGCTGTATAGCATTTGTTACACAGTATGGTGAGTATAGTGGCTTTTATCCATCCTAAGATCATTCGTATAATATCTAAGCCCCCACACCATCAGATCTTATTGAATGAGTTTATGTATTATGTAAAACAATACCCTTCGTTAGCCTCTCCACTCTGAAGCGATTATGAAGTACGCTACCATGCATCTGAGAATGGGCAATTTGGGGAAATACAACTTGATAAATGCCCTTTATAGACACCTTCCTATTTTAAAAATTGACTTGTTTGCCTGATGTAGCTCAGCCTTGGGGTCCAGTGTCTCAGTGCAGAACACCTCAGCCCTGAAAACAAGCTATGAGAACCAGGAAAGGCTGTGGCCTGGACCGGTCAGCATATCTTCTGTAAAACTGATTTAACTGTGGAACCCAGCTCAATCTTAAGGCTGCTGTTTTTTCAGCATAATAGGCTAAGGATGTATAGTCAGTTACCATTTAAGTAAATTTTGCCAGCATAACTTTCCATAGCATTAGATCAGGTGCAGATGATGTCTGTGTCCTTTTTACTACTGCAAATTCACATATCAACCCTGTACAAATCTGTCTTCAGAATAGATGTGTCTGTAACCTCTGTCAGTATGAGTGAGCTTAATATGTATTTCAGTGATATAAGTTTAACTAAATAACTTTTGAATATGGCAACACTGTGTTATTGTAAATACTTTTGTCTGGATTGCAACTATTGCCTAAAACCAGGAAAAAAATATTTATGCTAGATTATTTTTTGATCATTAGCAATAGGAATTATTCTAAATATAGTTTACACTGTTTCATGTACTGAAATGTTGTTAAAACAGGGTGATCTTGTCTGCCACTCAGAACAATTGCTCATGTGTGTTCTAAATTAAAATTAAATCTCCTAATGTTTTTACATGTTAGATCCTTATTGAAAAATAAGATTTTAGGATCAGCATTACTGGATGTTAAAATACTCACCTGAAAGCTGAAGGAATTATTTATATGCATTACTTCTATGCATACATGTTTTTGTGTCACCATGGTAAAGCTTCTGTAGACACCATTGGGTCCCACAGCTGTTCCTGACAGTAACAACACAAAAGGCAGTATCAAATGGTAGTGTTTGTGGGCATTACAGGAAAGGTAAATTGTAAGAACATAAGACATGATTTCTCAGGTTTTGACAGAGTACTTAATTTGACAGGTACACAAGAAAAGCAGGGTTTTGTATAAAATATGGTTCTCTTTCAAGAAATGTGGGCAATGTGGGAAACGCCTCTAAAAAGAGAAACAATGAGATTGCACATCTATGCCAGACTTCCACAAGTTGGGTTTGTTTTTTTTTTTGTTTGTTGGGTGTTTTGGTTTTTTTTTAAATGTTGAAGCTACTCTCATATGCAGTGACTGAAGGTAGTCTTCAGTGTGTTTTAGACTATGAATTTTCTTTTAAATTTACCTTGGGCTTTGGTGGTTTTAGGTGTTAAATATAAGAATAGTGAGTGCCTGATATCTTCCTAAATGCGAGAAAAATCAGAAAAAAGGAATACTTTCTACTAATCTTGAGGCTTTTAAGAGTGAAATGTTTCCAGTTAGATTAATACAATAATACTTAACTGAGTCCTAAGTTGAGTTGATCAATAGGGTAATAAAATAGTGGGAGTTTTGCTCATGAAAGCAGCTGTGTTTTAAGTGTAATGCACCACCAGTCATCAAAAGTTCTTTACTTTACTGTGCCTTGTGAAATTTATTTTAGGAAATCCTGAAGAGATCTGGGGATTTGAATTGCCTGTAAAGTATTCCTGAAATTGTGATCCTAGACTTGCTTAATATTATGATGTGTATTTTTGCAAAGAGGTCTGGTTGGGTGTAAGCAGACTTGTCAGTGTTTACTAACAAAGTATGAGCAGAAGGTCAGAGAGGTTTCAGTAGGAAATACAGTGTGTTTGACAGAGAGATATTATTTACATATAGTAATATTTGGAATTTTTTAAAAAAAATACTTGATTTTACCTTTACTTATTTTTCTGTCCTGTATTTCTGTAACAGGTTTAGGTAGCAAGCAGATCTACCTTAAGAATGGCGATTTTTCCAGTGTGGCTGAACTGCTGGAAAGCTTCAAAAAAGATGCAAGGAGTGTTAAACTAAGAGCAGGAAAACATCAGCTTGAAGATGTGACTGATGTATTGAAGAGTTTTCTTTCTCAAATAGATGATGCGCTTCTCACTAAAGAACTTTATCCATTCTGGATCTCTGCATTAGGTAATGTCTTCGATAACACTCAATACTAGAAAAGTTGTATGTGCATTTTCAGTATCAGTTTTGAGCGGCTTGTTAATTGCTTGCCATGTGTCAACCTATGTTATTTGATAATCACCAGAACAAGTTTAGTGAGGAAAAAAATGTTCAGAGCTTGACTACAATAGACTTACGTTAATTAGAGATGATTTGACTTTAAATGAAACAGAATAATAATAAAAAATAGCAATGTTTCCCTGACAATACATTTGTAAACAGTAGACCAATATTGCACTGTGTCATAGTTGGGTCAGCCAAGGTAAGAAGTGATGTTTAATACTTTATGGAAGCACTGATGGTAGAATTCCATAAGCAGACAAACTTTAGAGTAGGCAAAAAGTGTGTACTCTATCTTTTGACCATATGTAGAAGTTTACTTCAAAAGTGGCAAAATGTTGATGCTATCATCTGCATGATAGTTAAATGGAAGTCTTGCTGCTTAAATTCTTCAAATATCATTTATGAACATTCACACACATGTATATTAACAATGTAAACTTATTAACAACTGTTACTTGCTTTTTGTTTCCTCAGAAATATTAATCTAATTTGAAAGAAAATGTAACTTTAACCCAGACTGTAACTTGTGATGTATTTAAAAGGATGTGAGGATGTGTGTCTTTGTATGGCTGGAAACAGAACCATGAGATTACCAATACTTTAATTAGTTACTCATTACATAAATTGTCATGATTTTTATAGAGTTCTTAGAAAACAGCTGTATTTCTGTTTGTTTCTATATTGCAGTATTTTCCTCCCAAAATTGCAGATGATGTGTAGCAATAACAGAGGTGCATAGCAAAAGCTAAGATAGAACATTAATTTCTGCATTAACGCATTGAAATCATATAGGACTATTTACTGTGTGGCAAGATTTGTCTTAAAAAATTACGAAAAGTGTATTTCTCTCTGATTTTTATCAAGTTCAAACATATGGAGATTGCTTTAATATGAACCTCTAGAAAATTGGGAAATTCAAGTATGAATATTTTGACTTTAACCTTAATTTGAGCAAATTAGAAGAATATTAAGAATTCATTCACTTACCACTTAAGTCTCATCATAAAGTTGTATCTGTAGCAGTTTAGATTTAAGTTAGCTCTTTTATGAAAGTGCATGATGGTGTTATAGTGATTTAACTTCCTGATTGGTACATGGTGTTAAAGTTCTGCTTCAGCTTTACAGCAGAGAATCCTGTCCTGTTACAGTTAAGTGACAATGAAGGTACTTGTGGGAGGACTGAAACACTGAGAAAGAAAGAGTAGAAGGCCTTTTTTTTTTTTTTTTTTCTTCCTGTTTGTTTGTTTATTTTTTCTTCCAGTTACTGAAGAAATCAAAATATAGTGCAGTAGTTAGTGGAGAGTGCTAGCAACCCCCTGGAGAGATGAGAGAAATAAATAAAATTTACATTAATTTTGCTCATGTCACGAGCACGATTATGCTCTGTAGTATCTGTGCAGTACAGGGAGACAGACTTAACTTGAAGGTAAAGAGCTGTGACTGTGTCTCAGATACTATAATTCCCAAGACTGGAATTCCTATCATCAGCTCTGCCACTGTTCAGCTATGTAACTTTCCACTCCTCAGCTATGTAGTTTTGCACAACTCATTCACCAGCCCTTCCCCATTCCTCTCCTTTTATTAGTCTTACATAGCTGGATCTTTAAACTTTGGGCCTTGAAACACTTTTCCAATAAAAATCAAAAAAGATGAAAAGGTCTTTTCTCATCTCTAAGAACTCTTAGAAGTGCATTTGCACTTGTGCATACACAGATGCACTCACACATGTGAAGGCACAAACTACAGATTAAATATCCCTTGAGAGGAAAAGCTATTACTGTCCTGGGATTTAGCCTTAAACTGTAGCAAATGGTGCTTGAATATAGAACTGGCCTTCTTTATGGCTGATACTGTTTCCCTGAACTGGTGTACAGTAAGAGACTCTGTTAACAGTAGATTGTCAGTATTGCCTTTATGAAGAAGAGGTTGATTGGGTAAATTGTTAATTTTAAATGACTAGATGATGCCAATATAGTTAATGAGAACTGCTTTTGGTTTTTAGTATGCATTGTGCATTGTTATTGATATTCAGTGATTATTATTTTCCGGCAGATACCCAGAATGAAAAGGAACGTGTGAGGAAGTATGGAGCTTTTATTCGGACGCTTCCACCAGTCAATAGGGCAACTTTGGCTGCTTTAATTGAACATCTTTACAGGTCAATGCAAATGACACACAGTAGCAGAGAAATTCTTGTAATGTTTTCTTAGTATAACTCTACCATAAATGAAATGTGACTTGTTTCATTAACTAGTAAGCATCAAAAGCTTACCTAGTTGTGACGATTAATTATATTTGATTACTTTTAATTTATAGTGTGTTTTTTATTTGATTTTATTTTTAGCAATAGGTATCTATAAATATTAATGGGTTGGAACAGCCTTACACCGAGAGAGATGGCTGCTCGTGTATGTGTACAAGTAGGGTAATTTTTGATGTAGCTTCTTTATATGAACTCATTCTATTCCAGTCTGCTAGTCTTCCAGGGCATTGTTGCAAGTCATTCTTGAAATTAAGAGATCTTTTTTCAGGGAAAATGTCCTTCTCCACAATCTGTATTACACATAATAACTTTGTGAATTAGCTACCCTTTCTGGTTTTCCTCAGTGCTTCGTTTTGCAACTGAAGTGGCAGTAGAGAATATCCAAAATATGAACTTGTTTAAGCAACAAAGGTCAAGTCTTATTCCTAGATAAACAGCAACAAATATATAAAATTGTGTGACTTCGATGATTTTGCAGTGTCATGGTTAAATATTAATGGCCTATATTACCTTGTCTATTGAACAAGTGAAATTATATTCCTGGTAAATTGTAGCGGGTAGAGAATGTGTAGAACATTTTCTTTACAGGGTATTGTGTTTAGAAATTATATTACATAGTGAGGTACATAGCAGGTGTCCTTTAAAAAAACATTTATATGTTTATTAAATTGTTTGGTGCCATTATTTGGATAAAGATTATAAAAATATTGCATTTAATGGTATTTCTAAGCATATCCAGTTCAGATATATTAATATGCTGTTATATATGTTCCGAAAATAGTTTGAATTTATGTGTTTAACAGCCAAAATTCTGTGATACTTTAGTGTTTGCTTCTAAAGAGGGCACGTTATGTAAACAACAGAACTGACATGAAAACTTTATCATAAGTATAGAAAGTATAGAAACTAAGAAGAATCTCATTTCTTTACACATTTTGTTTGATCTTAGATAATACATTTGTAGGATATACTTACATCACATAATATAGTGAAGCAGTGAAGCTGTGTTAGTGTTTAATACAGCCTCACTTGAGTATTGTGTGCAGTTCTGGGCCCCACAATTTAAGATGATTGTGAAGGTCCTTGAATGCATCCAGAGGAGGGCAACAAACCTAGTGAAAGGGCTGGAAGGAATGTCCTATGAGGAGTGGCTAAGAACTTCAGGTTTGTTTAATTTGGAGAAAAGGAGGCTGAGGGGTGACCTCATTGCTCTGAACAGCTTCCTGAGGAGGGGAAGTGGAGACGGAGGTGCTGAGCTCTTCTCCCTGAGATCCAGTGGTAGGACACGAGGTTCAGACTGAACATGAGGAAACATTTCTTTACAGAGAGGGCAGTCAGACACTGGAACTGGCTTCCTCGAGAGGTAGTCAGTGCCCCAAGCCTGTCAATGTTTTAAGAGGCATTTGGACAGTGCCCGTAATAACATGCTTTAACTTTTGGTCAGACCTTAAGTGATCAGGCAGTCAGACTAGATGATCATTGTAGGTCCCTTCCAACTGAACTATTCTATACTGTTTTATTCTATTCTAAATAATTTTGATATCACTAGAGATGCAGATAGAAAGTATAACTTTTCATTTCTGTAATGACATGTGAGATAATATAAAGAGATAAATATAAAAAAGAACTAACAATATTAGATTTTTTCATTGCATTTAATGCAGTTATTCCTTTTGAAATGTACTCTATATTTTGTAGAGGAGCCTTAGACAATTAAAGGAACAATCAAACCTCCTAAATATGTTTATTTTTCGTTCAACAGGGTGCAGAAGTGTTCTGAAATCAATCATATGAACCCTCACAATCTAGCCATGGTGTTTTCCTCATGCTTGTTTCAAACGAAAGGCCAAACTAGTGAAGAAGTCAATGTAATTGAAGATCTAATTAAAAATTATGTGCAACTTTTTGATGTAGGTATCTTTTATATGAAAATGTCCTAATTACTCAGCTGTTAGACATGCTGTAGTATAGAAATATTCTTAAAGACGATCTTCCTATTACTTACACTGTCTGAGGATTTGCAGGGCTTTTGAACATTCAGTGAACATTGTTCTTTGTCTGCTTTAAGTTTTATTTCCCAGCTATCTTAGCCTGTGTAGGAAAGTCTGTATTTATAGCATTGCTGTGAGCTACTGTTTTCCACAATGGTGCATGTTCTTCTTGCTGACACCAGCATACCAATTTTAAGAGAATTTTAAGATCATGGCTATTAAAAAGAATACTTCTATTCAAATTTTATGGGCCTGATCAAAACTGAAACATGGAAGAAATCTGTGTTCTTAGTCTCTGAGCTGTGGTTACAATAAAGACTAGAGAAAGCATTTGTTTCCTTAGGCATAGAAAGAACATTAAATCCAACTGTATGGAAAAGATGCTATTATACTAGCAGCAACTCTTACTAGCCTTTTTTGGTGTAGAGTTTACTGTGCCACTATAAATGGTACAGTATATGTTTGTCAGTTTTTCATGGAGTCCTCGTTCTAATATTATTTGGTAAAGTTTATAATAACGAATCCCATCAATGAAGTACTCTTTCTGACTGATAGGATACTTTGCATAGCTACTTCTTTAAGAACATGATTAACAGTATTGTTAATTGTAACAATATTTGTTATCGTTACATTATTATTAATTTTTTGCTAGTGTTAGATGAAAGCATTCCTCTATGTTTGTATTTGTCTTAGTCTATTATATTAATTTAGTGTTTGCTAGTTTATGTTGTAATTTTTATACAAGGTCCTTTATTAATAGATTAAAGATGATCTGTTTTAAACAGATAAATGAAGATCAGGTCAAACAAATGGATATAGAGAACAGCTTTATTACCAGGTGGAGAGACACTCAGGTAAGTGGCAAATATCAACTGGTATGAAAACAATTTAAACAAAGTCTGGTTTATTGTTTACAGGTTTTTACACCTAGATTTCTAAATGTAAATTTCTAAGTTTGTATTGTGACCAGTGTTGTTAACTACAGAGCTGAGGGAAATAAAATGAAATAAAAGAGGAGACATAAACTTATAAAACAAAACAGTTCTCTGTAAAGCATACTGTGGCATTACATTTTTGTCCTGAGCACAGGGATAACTTACAGGTTGTTACGTGCTTTTACTATGGTTCATAAATTGCACTGGAAGAAAATGTTCAATATTTGCAAGTGTGAAAGTGGTGACCTGTCTTTTTTAAGTTTTAAACTTGCATATTAAATATCTTCATGTGTATATTAATATTTCTATTATTTCATGAGCTTTGGGTATACATGGTCTCTCTTCATTACAGTTTCACCATCCCTTTGAATTTAAAGCACCTGAATCTTTAGCTGAATCCTGTTTTGTGACCATTTCTAGAACCCCAAAGCACAAATATTATTTGGGGAAGCTTCAGACACATACTAACAGTCAGACTGAAATTTGGGATACAGTATAAAGAAAAATGGGAGAACTTATGCCACTTATTACCATCTTGAGTTCCAGTCTTGCCTGGAACAACTTTTGAATAACCTCAGATTGGTGAGAAACAGGGACGTGATGGCATGTTTCACTGTCTGAATGGTGTTTGTGTACAGTCCTAATTGAAGAAAAAATTGGTAAGTTTCATAACACTACCAAGGTGGTGGAATTAAGAGAGGCAAAGGAAACATAGGAAGCTTAAAAGCTTTTTCATAAATCTAAAGTAGTGGAGAAGAAACTTTCAGTGATTTGGGAGCTTATAGGGCTTTAAGAACTAATAGAAAGCTAGCAGAAAAAAAAATCTATAATACTTTGTCTCTTGACTGCCTTCCCCATTCCAGCAATAGTTTTGTGGTACCTTGTAAGCCATCATTAAGAATACAGGGTCTTGCAAATACATATTGAAATAACGTGTTCTATGAATTGCTATTTGAAGTCTTATTTTTGTCTCATATTCCCTTATTGTCTGGGTCAGATGGCATGAAGCTTTCTGACAAACATAACTTACTGCAAATGTGCACAGAGAAGGGACAGTGCCTATTTCCTCCTTTTGGTCCCTGGGAAACAATTTATGGTTTGCTTCTAGTGTCTCTCTTGCAGAACGGAAACATGTGCCTCAGTAATGGCACACCCCCCCTCCCCCCAAATTTGATATCCCTATGAGAATTCTGCAAGGTAAGGGTTGAAGTATCTTAAATGGAATTTATTAATTCTGGAATCCATGAAGCGGACTTTATTGAGATTAGAGAATAAAATATTCAATCCTGAGTGTGAAAATGCATAGACTTTAAAATACATTCTTTTCTATGGTATTAGAACCAAAAAAATATTTGTTATTACACTATTAACATTTTCCAAGCAACTCTGGGAAGCTGTAATGGTTAAATGTTTGTAATATCTTCTGAAAAAATTAAGGAGATACGAGAGGAGTTTCATTAGTAGAGGAAGAGATAGTGTAGACATTTTGACTAGATAGGGAGAAAAAAAGTAGAAAGGAAACCGGAAGGCTGTTGATGAATTGAATAATATAGTAGCAGCTGCTGACTAGGTGGGTTTGTCTAAAACTGAAGCTGTGAAGACTGAAATAAAGTGGTTTTGCTCTGTACTTTTTCCCACCCCAGATACCACTGCAAAATCACCTTTATGAGGTGTATTATATTTAGAAGACTGCCTTTTGAGAAAGAGAGATTTGCTTTTGATTTTTTAAAATAAAAGTCTAGGCTTTCTAAAATTGGTAAGATATTTATTAAAAAGTTTCCAGCACCTGAAAAACTATACTTCCAAATTTTAAAGCTTATAATCAAATTGGAACCTTCATGAATAATTGGGCCTATGTGGACTTGATTTCCCTCAACCAATCTAGGTTGCTGGGAGGTGGAGTTGTAGAAAGATTGAACCAGTATTTTAACTGTTTTTATTTTGGTCAAGTCTCTAGCATTAATAGTCAGCCTTTTGAATTGATGGTTACACCTACTGTGTGAGTAAACTCTGGCTTGATTCTCATAACATGCTTGGCTAAATTTTAAATTCTTTACAAAAAAATAGTAATATCTTAATATAGTATATAATAAATAATATAGTAATATAGTATATACTATATAGTATACCATACTATAGTATATAGTATATACTTTGACCTTAAAAATGTAACAAAATCTGCTACCTAATCACAGATTTATCACAGAATCACAGAATTCCTCAAGTTGGAAGGGACACATAAGGATCATCCAGTCCCAACTCCCTGCTCCTAGCAGGACTACCTAAAACTAGACCATACAACTAAGAGCATCATCCAGACACTTCTTGAACTCTGACAGTCTTGGTGCTGTGACAGCTTGCCTGGGGACCCTGCTTCAGTGAGCAACCACCCTCTTAGTGAAGAACCTTTTTCCTTATGTCCAGTTGGAACTTTCCCAGATGTAGTTTTATTCCAGTTGTCTAGGTTGGAAGGAGCCTCTCAAGATCATCTAGTCTAATTACACTGCTGCTCAAGCATGACCTCTTAGATTGCCTGGGGCTGTGTCCTGTCAGATTTTGAATATCTCCAAGTATCTCTGGGCAACTTCTTCCAATGTTTGCCCACCCTCACAGTATAATTATTGTTTTCTTGTGTTCAGATTGAATTTTTGTGTGGTTTAAATTTGTGCCAATTGCCTCTTGTCAAGTCACTGCGAAGAGTATCTCAGTTTTCTTCATTCCTTCCCATTGGATATTTGTACAAGTTGATAAGATTCCCCCCAAGCCTTCTCTTCTCCAGGCTGAACAGTCTTTCATCCTCTTCATATATGAAAGATGCTGTAGTCCCTTTATCATCTTGGTGATTCTTCACTGGACTGTCTCCAGTAGTTCCATATCCCTTCTTGTACTGAGGAGGCCACTACTGGACACAGTACTTAAGGTATGGCCTCACCAGTGCTGAATAGCAGGGAGAATCACCTCTCTCAACCTGATGGCAGTGCTTTGCCTAATGTAGCCCAGGAGGCCTTTGGCATGCTTTTCTGTGAGGGCATATTGTTGGCTCATGATCAGCTTGTTGTATTCTAGGACATCAAGGTCCTTCTTGGCAAAGCTGCTTTCCAGATGGTCATCCCCCAGTTTGTAGTGATACCTGGGATTACTCCTCCCAAGGTGCAAGACTTGAATTTACCCTTGTTGAACTTCATGAGGTTCCTTTCTGCCCAGTTCCCCAGTCTGTCAAGGTCCTTCTGAATGAATCAGCCACTCTCCCAGTTTAGCCCCATTTGCAAACTTGAGGATGTGCTCTGTCTCATTATCCAGGTCATTGATGAAGACTAATGGTCTCCTGACTGTTCAGCCAGTTTTCAATCCACATTTACAGTTTGTTTATCTAACCTGTACTTTGTCAGCTTGTTGATAATGATGTTATGTGACACACTGTCAAAGACTACTGAAAACAACATCTGCTGCTATTCTTTCATACACTAGTATCCTCATCGTAGGCAACTATCAGTTTGGTTAAGCACAATAACCCCTTCGTAAATCCATGCTGACTAATCCCAGTCACTTTGTTCTGATTAATGTGTTTGAAAATGCTTTCCAGGAAGATTTTCTCCATCACCTTCCCAGGGACTGAGGTGAGGTTGACCATCCTGTAACTTCCCAAATCTTCCTTCTTGCCTTTCTTGAAGATGGGATTGATACTTGTGCTCTTCCAGTCTTTAGGAACCTCTCCTAGGCGTCATGACTCTTCAAAGATAAGTGACTTCACAGTGACGTCAATGAGATTCCTTGGCACTTATGGGTCCTACTTCTTAGGCCTCATAGACTTATGTACATCTAGTTTCTTGAAGTGCTTCTCAGTTTGGTCCTCCTCCACTGAGGGTAATCTTCCTTGCTGCAGACCTTCCCTCTGGTTTCAGGGGCCTGGGATTCCTGAAGGTCAACCTTATCAGTAAAGACTGAAGCAAAAAAGGCATTAAGTACCTTGGTCTCTTCTGTGTAATTTGTCACCTGATCCCCTGCCCGGTTCAGTAGCGGGCCCATGTTTTCCCTAGTCTGCCCTTTGCTGTTTATGTACTTGTAGAATCTTTTCTTGTTGCCCTTTGCATCACTTGCAAGCTTCAATTTGGGGTCAGCCTTGGTGTTTCTAACCTCATCTCTGCACAATGGGACAGTAGCTCTGTGCTTTTCGTGGGTCACTTGCCCCTGCTTCCATCTCTTCTATGCTTCATTTGTACATCTGAGTTCAGTCAGGAGCATTTTGCTCATCCATCCAGGCCTCATAAATAGAAAGGGATGATTTGCAGTGCTTTATAGTACTTAAAATTCGTAAGACAGCAGTGAAAGGGCTCCTCATTTCATCAGGTGGTATGCAACTGTCAAATTTGTTCTCATTAATTTTTAACACATTACTAGAAATGACTACTTTTAGTTACAGAGAGAATGTACAAGTAGAACTTAGAAAATTGAAGAAAATGGCACATCCTACCTCAGTTTAAAGAAAGAGAAAGGGCTAAAAAGAAATATATTAGGAATTGTATTTAAATGTATACATTTGAAAATCTTTGGGGAAAAGAAGTTCTCCAAAGAATGTGGTAAATAACTACCTGATGTATGAGAGAGTCTCAGCTGGATTATGGAGCCTTCTGAGTCTCCTAGGTATGACATGTCACTGATAATAAATTTTACTTAGTCATGTCATCACCTGGGTTTATCTGTAAATTTTTGCTGTATTCATTAAGTGCTTTCTCAGATCATTTCTAGAGTAAGTTATTACACTACAGCTATGATTTCCATTGCTTTTTTTTTTTTTTTTTTTTTTTTTTTTTTTCCTTTTTATTACTGGCTAGAGGTCTTTTGTTTGCATACCACAAAGAGTTGTGAAAATCCACAGGCTTTGGGTGCACAAGAGCTAACCCTACCTGAGGTGCAGAAGCACTCCCTGGCTCATTCTGTGATCTTGGGACCACAGCTGCTCAAGGTAGAGGCCTGACTAAAGTGTGCCCTCGTACTTTCCAGACCTGTGCTGTTAGGTTTATCATGGTAAAACTCAGGCATTGTGTCATATAAGAAGCAGTATTTCCATTTTAAGAACTTAGTTCAGGGCTCTTGGATCCCAGATGTACTGTTCTGTCCCAGATTAAGCAATTAAATTGCTTGTGAAATGGGTAGTGAAGGGAGACTTGGAGTCTTAACAGTCAGCATGCTGCATAGGAAGACTTCTGACCTAGCCAAGTAGCTGGGATGCTGAAGAAAGGAGCCTCTCTTGCATGCCTGAACATACGTGTGGCAGATGCTGATTCACAGACCCAAACCATCATCTTAAGGTTCTTTCTAAAGGAGAACTTGAGCATTTTCTTCCATTTTAATGTGCAGATGAGGAATGAGGAGGCTAAATACTTCCTTGAGCAAGGTAAGGTCTCACCTTAATGCATTTTTTCCTTGTCTTGAGTATCTGTGGTTACATCATGGTACACCCTTATTAGCTGCAGTGGAGTGTATTAGTTCCTTTGTATCTCATTCCACCCCTTCACAATCCTTCCAGAACTTTACAATCACCTGGAATATTTTAGAGCCTATCTGTTTTGGCCTTGTCTTGGAAATATGAATTCAAATAATTGGGTTTAGTGATATTCAAATAATTGGGCAGTGAGATTGCTCAGAGTGTATCCTGGATAAGTTTAATGGTTAGACGGATTGAGCTCCTCAGCTTTACCAAGATGGCACCAGTCTTAAGTAAGAAAGGAAACTTTAGATACCAAGAATGTTTTAATAGAAAAGGCTAATTCATTGGGTACCCATGTGCATAAGTGATTGTTTTGAGGATTGCTATTGTGAAATTAAACAGAAAAATCTGTTTAGTCTGTCTTTGCATTGCTCAAGACATTATGTGACCAAACACTTTGGATTTCCATATGAACAGTTACATAAAAAAAAGGAAAAATAGATCAAAAATATCTGTATGCTTGAAAATCTCAATGTGAAAAGGGTTATTAATGAAAAATTATTCTAGTAAAGTACCACCTTTTTCACTCTCTTTTAGAAATACTTTACTCTTAAGACCTAATCAGATATTTTATAATATATTATTTGTATTGTGTGGGCAAAATGGATTTGCACTGTAAATTGTGTACATTGTTTTATGGCTTTATTCTTTAATATAGATGTGAATGGCATAAAATGGAAAATAGTGTAGAGAATTATCAACTTCCCTGTTTCCCAAACAGTACAATAATCTCAATTTAAAGCTGTTGTTGATGTTCTTCTCCATATCAAGGAAATAAATAATGCAAAATTCCTAGAACAAACTTGGTCACTGTGGTGTTTTAAAATTGTGTATCTGAAGTGATTCTAGTTTTCCTACTTGGAAAACATGAATTCTTAATACTCAGTACATGTTTTTGCAACCTGTAATAAAAACAATAGTACCTGTGCTGCTGGATTTTATTAGTTAATCTCTGTCAGTATGGTATCTGAAGACATCATGAAATGCAGAGTTTGAGTTAGAAAATGGTTTTGGATCTTAGCAAATCATTGCTATATTTACTCTGTATGACATTTCCTGAAAAAATAGAGCCACCAGAAGTCTCTAGGAGAATTCAACATTTCCCTAACTATGCATGGTGTTGTCAGTAGGTTTTGCTGAGGGAATACATTAGAGCTAGACTTGGGCTAACAATAAGCGCTTTTGAAAAAGGTTGACCTTCCCCTTCGTTATATTTTACATTTATTACTTCTGTCATGAGTATAAAGTGCATATTATTTCACAATTTTGGAAGGCTAGATTATATGGATGCCTACACTATATTTTATGAGGCTTGGACATATAAACTTCTTTTAAATTGCTCTTGTTAAGTCAAAATTTAGCATTTGATGCTTTCATTAACACTATATACAGAATAGCCAGACTCCAGCCAATTGTCATGAGCTGTATTTGCCAGTACAGACATGACATAGAATACACATTTTCAGAATAGAAACAGTGATTAGATGGAATGGTTTAGCTTTAACTTGGTATCTTTCATTATCTCAGTGAAAGAAAGGGGTATGCTGAAACATACTCATTTTCAGCTGCTCTACTCCCTCTGTCAGTAGCTACAACCATTCAGCCTGTAAGCATTTTGCAAGACCGTGGATACGGAAGACTTGCATATGCAGACTGTGTAGCATGCAGATTGGAGAGGTACCTCTCTGGGAACTTTTTTGGATGGACTTCTGGTTACTGTTAGGGCCAATGACATGATGCAGTCTGAGTGATGTAACAGCATGGGTGATGGGCAACTCAGGCCTCAAGCAGCTACAATTAAGAATTGCATGTAACAATCCTTTCCATTTAACATCTGATAACCTGACATTATTGTATCAAAACATACGCACATTTGCGGGAAAATCAGTGATGTGGATACTTAATACATTTGAATATACAGGTTGCTGTGCTAGTGTTATCTCCAGGCTGATGAGGCAGAGTGTTCAGAGGAGAACATCTGAACCAAATTTCTGCTGAAGGCCTGGAAGCTCTCATGTCTGAAATGTCACTGAAGTTCCGTTCCAGGTGGCACTTCATTAGCTGCTCTTCATTTTCTGTCCACCATATACTTATGCCAGCTGTTTCTGTTTGCTGCTGTAATTTACATCACATTTTCTCTCCATACGGTTGTTTATATGAGCCCAGTGGAAATCAAATGTCAGCTTCATTCTTATTTCCAACCTTTTTCTGTAATATCATCTGAAAAGCAAATTTTACAACTAAATGAGCTTTTTTGAGTCAGTGCCACTATAATTAAGCAGCTTTCTTCAAAGTAGCTTTGTAATGTTTTTCCTCACAAATGTTTCCATTAGTTTTCTATTCTCAGAGGCTAAACTAACTTTAAAGTCACCATTTTTCAGAATGTTAATGTTCTTTAAAATTGAGTGCTGCCATTTATTTTTCTGTAGAAATATAGTTTTAGCTTCTGTAAATTAGTCAAAATGTATCCCAAAGCTTGCCTGTTTCTATCATTTTCTCCATGTCTTACTCTGTATATGATGCAGGTTTTTTTACTTCTCTTAACCTCTCCCTTTGTTTGTAGTAATATATATATAAGTAGCATCACTATGAATACTGTTCTCAAAATTAAGACACAAATTGTTATTCTTAATGTTAATTTAATTATTTATTCTTTATATTGGCTCATTAGTAAAAAGGTACACCTCCTGAAAGGTCCAGTTTTTCTGCCTTATTTTTTCTTCCTATACTCTGATCATTACCATGTATTTAGTTTAGAAAATATTTTTGGTACTGGAATGAATTATGATCTTTTGACTATACTTCAAGGAAATTAGAGCAGGCAAAATGTGAGACTGTAAAAAAATAATTTCTCATCAATGAACATTATTTTATTGCCATAGATGAGCAAACCTACTAACAATAGAAAATACTTAATTCTTTCTCATGAATCAGACTTTTCTCCTTGATCATCAAATGTTGGATTTACCAACTTTCCTATTTCTTTGTAAGTTTCATATCATTAGACACTCTTAAATTATGTGTGTTGGTATTGAGTATATTAAACTATTACACATTATGTCATACATTTGCTTTATCATCTAATTATTCCATGTCAGCATTGTACATAAAGTTTAGATATCACCAACTAATTTCAAGAGCTATATTAGGAGGTTGATATTAAGAGCATTTGTTTTGATTCCTTTTTTAAATATGTCATGACAAGTTTTCATTGTGTTTAATGATTAATGATTAATGTAGTCCTCGTAGTAGTGAACTTTATTTAGACATGTGCTATGGCTATATGACTGAAATATTCTGTTGTTTGTAATTTTTCCCCTTGTTTTTAACTCATTTTAGTTTGCAGTTTCTGTCATCCATTTTCATGGTTTTAAAAACTGTTAATCTGTTTTGGCTCTGAAGTGAGCCTGGCTAATATCTAAATCAGAGTTACAGTTCTGACAGTTTAAGATACTAAGGTATATTCATGTCTTAGACTTTGCAGACTTAAATATAAATTTAAAATTTCTACTTATTTCATGTCTCCCCTAGTTTTCTTGCTCTTGAATGTGTATTTGTAAAGTGTGTTCTTTTTGTCTGGTACGATTTTGTTGGATTTAGTCAGGGTTTGGATTTTCCTCCTGAATCTGTGAATAGGGTGTTTTCCTTAAACTACTCAAACAAAAATGAATTTAATGCAGGTTTTTCCACTAGTGTCAACATTTGGACTATTTTTGTAGATAAGTGGGTGGAAAAAGAAGCTTGAGTTCAGTAAGTTCTTGCATATCCACTAGATAATAATTATACTTTCCCTATTTAAAAGGATATTTAAAATATTTTTTAAAGAAAATCTAATTGTATTTTTTAATTGTTCTGTTTTAGGTTTCCCAGGCTGGAGATTTGCTTATTGAAGTTTATGTGGAAAGAAAGGAGCCAGACTGTAGTATTATAATCAGGGTTTGTGTATAACAGTGATAGAGTGTTTATACTAATCACTTTCTCATGAATACCAAATTTATTTTCATACATGTTTTTATGTAATTACATAGTGAAGGTATGAGTTTATATCTATATATATCTATTTTAAATATTTCTTTTTAAATTGCTGCGTTGCCTAAATTTTGTAAAGACTGAGTATTATGCATTTTCAAGGAGAATGTTATGATACAATTATAAAGGGGAGATGTCTTCCTTTAGTTTTACTGCACTATACAGTGGTATAAATTCTCATGGCTCTGTGGGTGCGTGACACAAGAACATTAACAAGTAGATAGTGAACGCTGGTTTTATTTAATATTACAAGGCCATTTAAATGACCTTACTCCTGATTTCTCTTTTTGCCAGTGGCTGTCTGCTTTCCTTGGGTGCTAAGAAACCAGAGCTTGTTACTTAGTATAATTGAGATTTTTCAGCCTCGTGTCCAATAGTGTATTTTAAACACACTGATCTCTATGTACTAGTGCTCTGTTATTGGGATGCTGAGGAAAAGAAATTCATTTCTGTAATGGCAGAGGACAGATATTGTTAAGGAGCTAGAAAATTTAGGGCAATTCTTTTTCTCTTTTTTAAAAAAATGTTATACCTCTCTGTATCTGTTTCCTTTTTGTTCTATTCAGCATATGATTCTCAAACACTTGTGTTTGTACATATATGTGGTATGTGGTACACAGATACACATACATCTATGTACATAAGACATGCCTTTTATAGGAATAAAAATGGGAGTATGCATTGTTAAGATAAAAAAATGGTACTTCCTTAATATTTACCTTCCTATACCATATACCCATAACATAGAAAGATGCCTTTTTTTCACCTAATTTTTCAAGGGTAGAGAAAAGGAAATTCAAGTTAACATGTTATCAGTCAGCTAAAAATTCTAACTTTGATTTCATGGAACAAAATAAGGAAAGCATGCTGGAGTGATAAATAATGCTGGGGGGCTTTGTGGTTTTTTTAAAGTCAATTGCAGGGAGAAAGATTTTGAACAAATAAGTCAGAGATCAGTAACTGTAATATGTTATAAACTGACTCAGTTTGTATTGCAGGTATCACCTTTGATGGAAGCAGAAGAACTAACTAGTGATGTTTTAGGAATCAAAAATATTATTCCTGACAAAGATGATATCTGGACTGCTTTTGAGGTACTTGAAAATGGAGAACTAGGTTAGTGAAACTTAAATTCATGCATGTTAATCAAACTTTATTATTTTTATTTTTCAATACTTAACATAATCAAAAGCTTAGTTAAATAGTTACAAAACAAATTTATCCTTCATGCCATTGTTTTACATTTGGTTACTGAGACATCTGCATGATTTCTTTCTACACTTTGCCAGAAATAATGTGATGAATTGTTTTAATATCCTTATAAATTGGGGGCTGAAAAATGTTCTTTATATTACTCTACTTTGCAGTTCGTTAGTTATCAGCTATAGAAAAGTAGGTCTTACCAATAAGTTTAAAAGAAGAGATTTATTTTCATTAGAATGTCTGCAGTTGATTTTATAAAGAATAATGTTTTTCAGAAAATGAAATTAGAAAATACATGTAACCTATAGGGGAAGGATCTTTTTTTACTATTTAGTCAACTATTTTATGTGTGTAGATGAAAAAAAGGGGCGTAAAGTGTGTTTATGGCAAGTGGCATTATGGCATATCCATCAGAGTCTTAAAACATGTTTTAAACATGGTTCTCCTGCCAGCAAGAGCAAATATCACATGGTCACAATATTCATAAACTGTAAAGAGGTTTTAACATTGGGAGTGCTTTATGTATGCTGGAGCTTGCCTGTTATTAACAGAAATACTTAAAATAACATAAAATAATAGAGATTCTTAAAATTAAAACATTGTCGTTTGATGAATCCTCACTAATGTAATCTGATTTTTGAAGAATACATGGGGGACAGAAATATGCTTTCAGTATAAAGCAACATCTATTTGCACTTTATAGTAAGTTGCTGCTCTTGCTATTTTCGTGTTACAGAAGTGGACTGCAGACTGATTTCTGTAGGGAAGATACTATTTTCAAGTTAAGAAAATAAAAAATAAAAAATGGAGAAAACTAAGATTACTAAATGTTCCAAGATTGTTTGAATATTTCTGTTTTATTTGATTTTTAGGTATGCTTACAGTAATCTCTTCATATTTACTAATTTTCCTGATATACTCAGTCTTGACCTTGATGTTATCAGTAATGAGAATGGAAATACATTCTCCCATTTGTCTTAAAATAAATGATCCTGATCCCTCTTTGCATCTTGCAGTCTTCTGGTGAAGCTATGTAGAGTTGTAACAGAATTAATTTCCAGATTCATAGATGTGGGTGTCAGGTGACAAAGAATGCTAGCATACATTGTCTTTAGAAGAGTCCTGATAACTGTTTCTTTTGACTGAGTATGGAAAACTTTGAAGAGGGAATTTTATTTTCTTAAATTTGATATATAACACTTACAGGCAAATGAAAACTAAACTAGATAATGGCCAAGAGAACATAAAAGTGAATAAAAAAGATAGACCTCACAGCAACTTCTTGAGGTGTTTCAGTGCAACAACTAGCATTTCAGCGTGGGCTAGAAATGTTATCTGAGCTAATGACTATGGAAGATCAGCAAGGTTAAGCTTAGAGTGAGACACTACAGGTCCTACATAGGACAATAAATATTGGCAAGGGATTAGAGTGTATCCTATTGAAACGAGTTTACAATGCAAGTAGAAATGGCATACCAGTGCTATAAAACTAAACCAAACAAGCAAAAAGCAAACTAGGTAAGGTCCTAATTTCTCACCTGGCTCCAATTAGTAGAGACTGTGTTGATGAAATGTCTCCTTCATGGACCCCTTTCTGGAAGAATCTGTGCATCAGATCAGGTGATCTGAATTAATAATGTTGAAAAATTAAAATAACAATTGTAGTAAGAGACACTTACTCAGGAAGACTCCTGTGGTGCTATGACTGAATAGCAGATTTTCAAAAGGCTGAAACAGAGAAAACAACAGAGAAAAATAGTCCTGTGCAGTCTTTCATCCAAATGTGACACTAAAGAACTAAAAAAACCTACTTGAGTCTTTGCTGCTGCAAGTTGATCTTACTAACATCATTTAACAAACACCATTGAACATTATGTAATCTAAGGCATTTACAAGTAAATTGAGATTCTGACATGTCATGACAGAAACAAAGTTTGCTTATTTGTTTCACATGTACATTAATGATCACAGTTTCTTTCTGACAGAAATTATTTTTCTGCTTGTATTCCTGCTGCAGTCTGGTTTCTGTCCAGTGTGTGTTGGTATTCTGTTTGTTACACTGAATCCTGAAGTTTTATAAGAGTTATTTTACTTTTTAAGATACACTGCCCTGAAAACTAACCCTGAAGAAGGGAAGAAAATTAGAGTCTTATATTTTCTAAAAAGTAATTTTCTCCTGATAGTTAATGTTGTTTAAGATGAAAATGACTGGTTTGGGATATTTACCAGCATATGATGACCTAAGTAAAAGGGTAATTGGACATATGTTTTGACTGCATGCTGTTCAAAATACTGAAATTGCAATATTAAAAGTCAACTAAATTATTTGCATATAGAATAGTTGAAATAATTGATAATTTTATCTAGCCTAGTGCAGAATGTTCAATACCATATGCTTTTACAAAATAGGGTGTATATTTTTTTTTTTTGGTAATTTGTGCTTGATGGATACTTTGTAATTGAGGTGTGTTGCCAGTAAAATAGCTAATGCATTTCAGCATGATGATTTATGTACCATGTAATCCATGATGACAGATGGTTTTAAATGTAACTATAAATAAAACAGTAGGTGTTTACTCTGGGAGTGCTGGTGTTCTAGGAAGATGTGTTTCCTGCCTTTGGTTTGTAAAGTTCTTCTCCTTAAAATAGACTTTTCTCTCTTCTAATAAGGCAGCAAGTTGTTTTAACTTTTATCACATCAGAGTCCAGTTTCCCCAAAATTGCAAAGAAACTTTAAAAGTTTGATGATTTAAAATGAAAGAGCCAGAAGAAATGGGATTGAACTTCTGTCTACAGAATGGTATTTTCGTTAGGCTGCTTTGTTGTCATGTCTGAATAATAAAATCTTTATATAAGTGGTATAACAAGTCTACAGGTAGGTAAGGTTTTTTGCATCCCAAAACAGCGATAGTTATTTCTGTTGCTTAAGTGTATTATTTGTGGCTGCCGCTTTCTGAAGCTCTGGTGCTTGGGAAAATATGTACTGCTGGACAGTCCCAAAGCAGCTGTTGACATTTCATATTCATCTACCCTAGCAGATATGAAAAATGAGATTGTGGTGGCATACTTCTCCCTTCAGTACTCAAGAGACACAGGGCTAGACTGCCTGACCCAACATGACAGTGTCACAGGTGTGACTTTCCAGGAGCTGTACCCAGCTCTTTTCAAGGCCTGACCCACATAAATTAGTATGCAAATGGAAACTCAGAAATTTTGGAAAAACCTTTCCTTGGAGGTAAAATGACACTTGGGTCCACTGCGCTTAAGTTGTAGCCCACAAAGCCATCATTAAGGTTTTTATGCTTTCATGAATTATAGTAGGTGTTTACTGCTGGGCAGGTGAAAGCCTTCAGGTGGGTATAGTGTGTGTGGAGGAAGGATTAATAGAGAGGGGGACTGTATGGTCTCCCTCCATGCACATTAGTGTTGCCTTGAATGATACCTCAGGCTGTGTTGCAGTACATATCACACTGATTTCTGCTGGATCTGGTAATGCAGATTAGGGACTATTTGCAAGTTCTTCCCTACTTTCATTTGGTATATGAACTGGTGTTTGTATGGAGTACTGCCTGAACCTTCTTGTTATTGCAGTTTTTCAGTCCTGTGAAAGGGTCTTAGTGTTTCTCTTTTAGGATGGATGATACCTATGAACAAATGTATGTTTGAGCAACTGAAGTGCTGAAGTGCACACATACAGTCTAGTCATGACTTCATCGGTTGGTATTTTAATCTTGCTGTACTCCTTGTGTGAGGTTGGAATATAAAAGTGCAAGTCTGGAAATTCCCTGACCACAGCAACAGTGGGAAGACCTAGTAAGACCACATATTTTTCCTTTCTAGTAAAAGGAATGTAATGAAACCAAGAGTCTGTCTCAGTCTGCTTTGATCATTAACAGATAATATAATTTACACTGGGGTTCATTTTTATCACTGTAACTGCTCCAAATTATTTGGATTTTGATTGCAGACAATTGCTAGCTATGGTGATGCATTTTGTATTGAGCTTAGGCCAGTGAGGCCCAGTATAGCTGCAGGTCTCCATTTAGGTATGCCCTGTGATAGTTCCTAACTTGTGTTTTTAGTTTGAAAGCAGTGTCTATTATGAAAATATTCATAACTAAATACAAGAGCCCTGCAACATTTAACCACTGCTTGTTTAATTTGATATTCATTACCTGTACAGGCCCTGCCAACAAAGGTGTTGCTGCAGAAAGTCAATGAAGTGCGTCATTGTCTTATTTTGAAAACACTGTTTTTCTTCTGTAGCTCAAAGTGAGACACTGTTGTGTATAGACATGTGTAACTTCTAAAGGTCTGCAACCTTGATTTTGTTTTTCTTTTTTTTAATTTCAACATTGGTTTTGTTTGTTTTTGTTTGTTTTTTTTTCCTCTGACATTTTAGAACGTCCTCTGCATTATACAGAAAATATACTGGAACAAGTTCTTCACTGGAGTTCACTGCCAGAACCTGGCACTGCATATCTGATAATAAAGAGATTTCTAACAGCAGACATGATAAAATTCTACAGTGGTACGTATCTTTTTAAAAACTTGGATATTTCATGTGGGACAGGAGGATGGCAACTCTTTTATAGCTGTTTCACTGGGGCAAAGTGTCCCAGAACGTCTGAATTACTGAATTACTTTATAAAAGTTACTGATTTACTGACGGTTGTGCTGACTTCCTTTTAAACATAGACATTATGGATGTTCTTGTTTCTGCGAACTATAAGCTCTCCCATTTGAATGTAAAAGTATACAGAAACTCTGCATTTGGTTCACAGTTTGTGAACTTCTGCTGTGAAGCTTGAGACTACTCTTTTATCCATAATGCAGTTCTACACAATCCATTCACATATATACACCACAATATACCATCTCTCCATGGACTATATATACATATACCTTATAATGACTACATTATATATATTAAATATATAGTTTATATATAATTATATAAGTATGTTATGTACTACTAATAATTTATATTATGTAACCCAGTGACTCCAGACTACAAAGCTAATTTTAATGATAAACTCAAGCAACTGAATGGCTTATAGAGTATGTGAGCTTTAAAAAGGATGAAGAATTTAGATCTGATACTTGAAATATAGCTCAATAGTGGAAGAATATGATTTACAAGCTACTCCAGTCCTATTTTGGTTTTTCTTATATAATACTTGGATTTAAGTCTCCTGTGTAATAATATGTAGTATTTGCTTTGAGGGAAGCAGGAGTTTAGAAGTTAAACATGTTGAAAAATTACAACCCTGTTTTCAAGCAGCTGAAATCCTATATGCTGTAAAACGTGTGATGGTGACACATGATGCCCGGTTTAATGACCATCTGATTTTATCTACTGACTTATTCAATATAGAGTATTTTCTTTTCTCTCTTCCCCATACACAGAGTTATTAATCTCTCCATCTCTATATCTCTTCTGTCTTGATTTCAAGAAGTTATTCTATTTTCTTAGTCATCTGAAAGTAATAGCCTCTCTTATCATCTTTTATTCCTGAAAAAGCATATTCCACACATAGGAACCAACCTCAACGAGTGTGCTATTCATGACTTTTATGTTTGAGTTTCACTACCTCTAAACATGGCATAGCAGGTAGTGAACAGAAAGAAATAGCTTACTTCATTAAAAGCTTGAAATATGAACTCCCATCATCTCAGTCAGTATGTGCTGAGGTATAATCAGAAAAGGGAATGAGTCATAAGGACTTCTCTGAGAAACACAGACTAGTGTCAGTTTACAAAATGCAGTACTACTTAAAGGGGAGATCTGCTGTTTGCCCTCCTTGTCTCCTAATTTCTACATCCATTTGTTCTACCAACCCATCACAGTAATTTTTTGCATAAATTCTATTCAGTTTGACCTTAGTCTAGAGATACTGGCCTTTGACTGAATGTTTACATTTACTGGCTTTTTTTTGTTGTCGTTGTTGTTAAAATAATTAAAACCTTAGTAAGTTATATTGGTTTTTCTTCGTGGTTTGAAGGGAAAAATCTCTGCCATATTGCAGATTTACAGTGCTGATCTCTGCAAACTACATGGCAGAGTAATCTCTCATGTCTTACAAGATCTTTTCTTGAGAGTGGAATTGCCATTTTAAGGAACTTTTACATGGTGAACATACTGTGATTTCTAAAACATTACCTTTTCTAACTGGATCTTGTTATAATAAAATAATGTTTACAATAAACACAGTTCTGTAGTAATTTCATCTTAGAGTTTTTGAGTCTACTTTTAGCTTGTAAATTTACTCTGAAACATTATGCATACTGGAGGAGCAAGTTCACTAGCTTCAGCCAAGCAGTGTATATATTAAATGTAGGCAAAGATGCATAGAAAGTCTGCACCATTCATCCACATTTTGTAGTTGTAGGAATCTACATGTTTATTGTTTCTATTTCTAATTTTGCTCTGTACACACTGTTAAAACAAGTAGACAGCTATTTCAGGACAAAAAGCTGCGGGGTCTTTTAGATAAATGTTGTACTTCCATCACTAGATAGTGTCAGACTGAGAAAATATATAGGATGAGGTAGGTCATTGGGGAAGGAATGCTCTCAGTGTCTAGAGGAAGCAGCAGTTGTGGTTATGCTGTGGCTCTCCATCGCAGCATGCACAAGAAATAACTGCTGGATTGAAGGAAGAAGGGGAGACATTAACCTTTCAGTCTTTTACGCTATGTGGTTAATTCCTCCTCGCTGAGTAGTAGGGCTGAGGCCAGATGTCCATCCACTACTATCTGAAGTATGTTTTTTAACAGATTTTAACTTGGTAGATAGATGTCCTCCTCTTTTGCAGTAAAATTAATAGGGCTGTGATCATATTATGTTTATAACAAAATTCCATTAATTTCCCTTCGTTCTCTGATTTGTTAGAATCTTACAGACTAAATTATGATATTCCTGACCTTTTTTCTATTAATGTTACCTCAGAGCTTTGTGTCCTCAGTACTTTTGTCCTTTTCCTTCCAGAGACTTCAATGGTGTTTGAAATAATGTTGGTTCAATAGTGAGCCTAAAGGAGCAACTCTGTTAGCTTCATTTCATCTTGACAACTTATCACTGTCTTCCATTGTCAGTGCAACTTTCCTCATGTACATATGACACATAGTACATTCTCCTTTTTCATAATTATTATTCTCATTTTGTCAATTTTAAAATAATTTCTCATCTTGTATAGTATCAAACATTGTATTGAGGTCTAGCTGTATATTTTGTATAGAAATAAACTTTTCAAGGAAAGAAAGTGTTAGTATATTTCTATAGATATGTTCCAGTAAATTCTTTGAGAGTTTTCCACTTTCATCCAGATCTTTAGTTATTCTTTCTTGGCAATTTATTCCATAGCTTTTCATGCTTGTTGCAGGAGTACTCATTCAGGTGCTGTTCAGAAGGGCAAGGTATGTGTTTATATTTTGTTATAAGAGATACTCAGTATAGCTTAGTTCTATTTCAAGAGTCTTTTTCTTCTCCTTACCTGAAAATTTCCCACATTTAAGTTTTATTTGTTAGAAAAAAATGAGAGAATAGATTCACTACAAAGTGTGTGTATATCTAGGTCCTTAAAATTTTACCAGTAAAGAGTTGTATAACTTGAGTGGGAAGTATTGATTTCTGAGAACAGGGGCTATTATTCAGAGATACTCTTTGAAATGCAGACTTCTAAACCATAGGTGGATCAATCCTGAATGGATTGAGTGCTTGTAGTTCCTATCACCTTAAACTTCTAGAAAGTTTTGCATGTTCTGTAAAGTTTGTATCTGAAAAATAATTCTTATTAGGACACATCCAGATTATTTTAGATTTACTTTATGAAATACTGGCATATAAAGATTATAGACTGTCATCAATTTACAGGGTTATCATTTTTACTCCTTCAGGCTTTTCTAAGACCTTTGTAAGTGTCAAGTGTTTGATAGATTTGCTATGGTAGGAATGCTGTGAAGTTTAGAATGAGATTTTGTCATATCAAGAGCTATATGCAGATATTTGAAATCCACAGACGTGGAAGTATCCTGTACTCTCATTTGGTATCGTTAAAAAAACCCCAACTTGTGACTGTGTTGATAAGGATACATATTCTGTTCTGAACATGAAATAAATATCCTTACTGGCAAACAGGGAATATATATTAGCGCTTTTTTTTAACTGTGCATGTATATTTGAACCTGAGGCAATCCAAGTAACTTCTGATTTTAATTGTTGAAATGTACTGATTATGACTTTAGATTCTATTGTAAACTCTAAATACTGGGAATTTTTCTTTAAGATTTTTCCTTTCATGACAAGCATGCTGATTAGAATGTAGTTGGTTTTATTCGATGAAATCAAAAGATATTATCTTTAAAATTTCCATTATATTTTTTAATGTTTTTAATAATTTCAGTTTGTACTATGATATAAAGCAAGAGGGAATTAGATTCACAAGTTTTAATTATCTTCTTTTTTTTTGCAAATAATTAGGATTAGGAGGAGGATTAATTTAATTCTGACTCTTTAAACAGCATTTTTTCAGCCAGTATGAAAGATGTGATTCAGATAAAACTTTTCAAGTGAGTCCCAAAGTCTCTCTACACCATACAAATGATAATAGAATCTGACTCGGAGTTTTGGAATATAACCTAGTTGTGGTCTTTTGTATGTACTTTAAAGTGTATTTGCATAAATGCACATTTGAGACTGGGTCTCACTCATGTACTTTTTGTGTATGCACAACCATGTATCTAATGCATTAATACATTTTTCACTACTAAAGTCTTGGGGCTCTTCCTAGACAGTCATGTGTCTGCAGGTTCTTTAAAAGAAGAACAAAAACCCGTACTGTGCAATATATTTATCAGACCCTGCATGTTGTGGTTATTAGCGATGTTTCATGAAAATTCTTAATTCTCCCTTGTCTCGTCTCATACTTGCTTAGTGCAAATCATGCAGTACTTGAAGATACTGACTGCTCATTTACTAGAATATATGAAGAATGGAAAAAATACCTGATTTTGATTAGTACATGTTACAGCAAGTGTTGCTTCCAAAGTATGACTACTGGTGTAGTTAGCTATGGCTGTGTAATACCATTCTTCAGAAATAAAAAAATAATGCAAACAGTATTTTTTTTTTCTGTATTCATGTCTTTCCTGACTAAATGAAAATGTTTTATGTTACTTTTTATTGTTGATTTATTTTATTACTATTTTTTTAGATTATATTGTGTGCTGCTGCTTAATAATAGAGTTTTGATATCAGATGCTCAAATCCTAAGTGGAATTTTAATGAAAAAAGCCAATTGAGTAGTTGGGTAAGGATGCTATGCTCCATACACCACATACTCCTTTTACACAAGAGTTTTATTTAATATCTTGGAATTAATATATTACAAAACTTAGTTTAATTCTGGGACTCCTAAACAGGTTTATTCAGTATTTCCTAAATAAGTTATTCACTACATTTAGCAAAAGAAAATAGGTGGTAAAAGCCAAAATATGGCATAAGTAGTAGGCTTGTAGTATTTTGGGATAAATGAATTATTAGCCCTGTTAGTATGGCTCCCTCTTTGAGGTGAAATGGTGTTAACTGGAATGGAGAAGAGCTCATCTCCTGCCTAGCTGCTGTCTCTTCATGCTGGCAGTCTGCTTCCAGCACTAATTAGCTTTAGGAGAAAAGAATACTTCATAATTCTGCTGAATTATCCGCTCTTTCATAAAGACTTGATAGGATGCAAGTAGGAATTATTTTTTCTTTTGTTGTTCCTTACTTTGTTAAAGTGTTTTGGTTCGATTTTATATACACGAGTCATATCAGCATGGTAATTACTGTAATTAGTGGTCAGAAATTTTTGCTATTTGAAAGTGGACTTGTTGGGAAAAACTGATAAACTAGTAAAAAACACAAAATATATTGGGCAGAATAGGAAAATCAAAAGCATCTAGAAGTGGTGGTGCAGTAGTTTATATGTACTAGTAATACTTTTTTGTATTATTTTATTTAGAAATTTAAATTGCTGAGAATGTACTGAAAAATCTAGTCTGTAGCACTGAAAACCTTCAGTGGTTCTGGTATTTTTTTAAAATAAAAGCTTTTTCAGTACAAAGTTAAACGCTTCATAAAGCTGACTGCAAAGTTGTGGTTTGGGTTTGTTTGGGGTCTTTTTTATTAATTTTACTAAATATATGTGTGTTTCTGTGTGTATTTTGACTCAGACAGAAAAATGTAGACAGACTCATTCCAAAATCAGATCTTTGTGGAAAGTTTTTGCCTCTCTGAAGCACAGAGATTAAAAATATCCAGGTCATACTTTTGGACTTGATTGCACATCCTATTCTGAAAAGATTATTTTAATTAAAGTGTGTGGACAAATTCTTTCTGTCTTATCTTACAAATGAAACAGAAAGACCTTTTTTTCCAGTAATTGAAATCATAATTGTTTCAATATTCAAGAATACATATCTTATTAATATATAATACAGTAATGTATACTATATTAATTTATAGTATATTAATATAGTATGTGTATTCAAATGTGATGTATAATGTACCTGTATATTCTATATAATTATTTCTGTTGTTTAAAAATATATATCATATTAACAATTTAGTTGAATTGTAATTCTGGTCTTCTTGATAATCAGTGATACTAAGGGGCACTTAACAAATAGCAGCTTCCAGTGTTGTAAAATCTTCTAACAAAATGCTTTTTTATTTTGTTGATAGAGAAAAATGAGAAAGGTAGCGTGAAAGCAGGCAATCTGAAGTACAAAGAAGAACCATCAAAACTACTGTCCGGAAACAAATTTCAGGAGCGTTATTTTGTGTTGCAGGAAGGAAACTTGCTTCTTTACAAGGATATGAAGGTATAACAGACAAACTCTTCACTCAAATCTTAAAGCACTCACTTAAGCTATCTTTTCCCTACCAAAAAAAAAGGCAGGCAATCAGATCACATATCAACATTTCTGGCATTAAATGGCAGCTTATGGAGTATAGGGTTGAAGTACAAGATGTTTATCTTACTATTTCACAGATACTTAGTAAAAGGAGTTTGCATCAATTGCTCATTTATCTATTATAGTAATTATGCATTACTATAAGCTTTTAAAAAAAAAAAAAAAGTTTAGGAATGCCTATGGCTTAAGCTCTGACTAAATTTCTTTAAAATCTACTGTAGAGAGCAGTATGGAGCTTAAGTGAGCTGCATGCCGTTTTTTCTTCGTATCTCACAAGAAGCCTTTAGAAATTACAAACAACAGGGTTCTTACACTTATAAGTGTCATGACAGAAGATCTTATAGGAAACAATAACTCTCAGGACACCTGCTTCCCAGAAGTTTTCAGATATATTCTCAGTCCTCCAAAAACTAATATTGATAATTAGATATACTTCAGATTTCCACAGAAGCAAATTTAGACATACTTAATAGCATGGTGGGTTCAATTTTAAATATTTCATGGGAGTTTTCTATAAAGAGTGGTTTTAGATGTATGCAGCTTGTATTAAGGTATAAAACTAAATAATATGCATTGTGAACTATGTTTTAATTTTAGTTTTGATGTTTTCTGGTTTAAAACAAATAATCTCTTAAAATGCTTTTATTTTTGCTGACTGCTGGTTTTGCCCATCCAGCAAATACAGATATATACTTGCTGACCTTCTTATAGTAATTTTTTTTTTCCGAAAAGACAAATCCATTGCTCAAGTAAGCTAATGCAAAAGAAATATTGTGTCTTCTTGTGATACTGTGGATATAATCATAATTAGAATGACCCCAGAATGTCAAAAATAGTGTCTCATAATTTAGTGCTAAAACTCAAATTGGCACATATGTGAGAATAAATTAATATGCCCATAAAACCTTAATTAGTATCCTGGAAGGATTTTATGATAGGATTGTTGTACTACTTTATAATCTACTTTTTTAAGCCATTCTGATTTATAAAACATTAAATTCCTCAATTTGTGTCAAATTCTGAACAGTGATACTTTAAATGGTTTTACATTTGTTACATTAAAAAGCAAATGGAAATACCATTCTGACAAAACAGTGTATGTCAGTTTGTTTTATTTTCTTTCAAGAGGTGTTCATCTACCACTAATAATCTTGGTTTAATTTTAGTCATATTTAGAAATGAATAGTAGGAAAGCTTGACATTGCAGATGGAAAATTGTATTTAATAAGACTACATGTACTAATTAATTTATAAATTCTCATTAACAACAAATTAAGTTTGTATATGCAGGTGGAGATACATTCTGTTAAGTGTTACTCCCGCTCAAGAGCAATTAGCAAAAAAATGAAGTTTCCATGATACTCTATGTTAAATTACAATATTGTGCTAATTGACTGAAATAACATGCCACTTTAATGGACTGTTGTTAAGTGATAAGCTCACACGCAGACAAATGGCTTCCTTAAGGTACATTTTTGTGAGAAGTATACTGTTGTTTAACTAGAATGTATGTTTTCTAGGAGTATTTTTTCATCCTGGCAGTGTCCTTGCTTTGAGCGGGAAGTAATGAATACCAACCATGAAACTGCTGTGTGGTTTTTTGTTTTGTTTTCTTAAATGTTTTATGCCATCTCAGATTCTGTCTTTTTCTCCGCACTGTAGTGTTAGAGATTGAAAGCTGTAGAGGGAGAAATTGAGAATCCAGGACAGTTAACACTATGGAGTATCTTTATGTACTGGGATTATAAGATATTTTTTTTTTTCCCTAAATGGAAAGCTAAAGCACTTGACCTAAAGGGTTACTGAAGGGATGTTTGTGTTTTGTGTTAGATGTTAGTCGTAGCATACATGAGAATTTCATTGTTTCCTTTTAGCATTTAATTTTCCAGACACGTAGTGTGGGTATATCTGTTTTAGGTTGGCTAAAGGTAGTTTGTTCAAGAAGGAACAAGTAAGGAAGGAACCTCAGATGATCTCTAGTCCAACATCCTGTTCACAGCAGGGTTAGAAACTGAGGTTAGAACAGGTTGCCGAGGGCTTGATGCAGTTAAGTCTTGAAAAATTTGGAGGATGGAGATTGCATAATCTCTCTGAGCAGCTTGTTACCATACCTGACTGCTGTTTTGGGAAAAAGTTTGTCCTTATATCTAGTCAACCAGCTCCCTCAGCACCCTCGGGTGTATCCCATCTGGTCCCATAGACCGGTGTATGTCTATGGGATGCAGCAGGTCACTGACTGTCTCCTCCTGGATTGGGGGGAAGTCATTCTCCCAGTCTCTGTCTTGTGGCTGAGGAGGCTGGATTCCCTCAGTACAACTAGACTTGCTATTAAAGACTGAGGTAAAGGCCTTAAGTGCCTCAGCCTTTTCCTCATCACTCATTACCATGTTTCCTCCTGCATCTAGCAGGGAACAGGGTCTCTCCCTGATCTTTCTTTTGTTGTTGACGTACTTAAAGAAACATTTCTTGTTATCTTTGGCTTCTGAAGCCAGATTAATTTCTAGCTGTGATTTAGATTTCCACCCTGCATAGCTTCAGAGCATCTTTGTAATCATTGTGAGTGGCTAGCCCCTTCTTCCAAAGGCTGTAAGCTCTACTTTTCTCCCTGAGTTGCAGCCAAAGCTCCCTGTTCAGCCAGGGTGGTCTTCTCTGGCGCTGGCTTCTCTTACAGAACCTGGGAACAGCCTGCTCCTGAGCCATTAAGACTTTCTTCCTGAAGAGTGCCCAGCCTTCCTGGACCCCTATACCCTTCAGAATCATCTCCCAGGGGATCCTTTCAAGCAGGTGCCCAAACAAGACAAAGTCAGCCCTTTGGAAGTCCAGGATGGCAGTTCTGCTGTCCCCTCTCTGGGCCTCTCTAAGAATAGCTAACTCTATTATTTCTTGATTGTTGTGCCCTAGTCGGCCTCCAACTGTCACATCATCCACCAGTCCTCCTCTGTTCACTAAGAGGAGATCCAGCAGGGCCCCTTCTCTGGTCAGTTCACTCACCAGATGTGTCAGGACGTTATCTGCCACACATTCCAGGAATCTCCGGGACTGGTCTTGCTCTGCTGTGTTGTATTTCCAGCAGATGTCTGGGACGTTAAAGTCTCCCACAAGAACAAGGGCAAGTGATCGTGAGATTTGTCCTAAGTGGCTATAGGATATTTCATCCACATCTCTGTCCTGGGTGGGTGGCCTGTAGTAGGCTCCTAGTACAACATCTTCCCTGTTGGCTTTCCTCCTGATTCTAACACTAAGACACTCCACCCTGTCTTCACTACACTTGTATTCAAAGCAATCATAACAGTCCCTAACATACAGCGCCACCCCACCACGTCTCCTTTTTTGTCTATCCCTCCTAAAGAGCTTGTAGCCATCAACTGGCACACTCCAGTCGTGGGAGACATCCCACCATGTTTCTGTCATAGCCACTACATCATAATTTTCCTGTTTCATCATGGCTTCAAGCTCCTCCTGTTTGTTACCCATGCTGTGTGCATTGGTATACACGCACTTCAGATGGGATGATGTCCCCAGCACCTTTTTGCATTTACAGGTCCTGATTCCAGTCTGGCCTTTCACAGGTGTTACCATAGTTACTGATCCATCAATATTCCTTGTATCTTTGTTGTGCTGCATGTCTCCATCCCTTACCTCCACTGTAATGGCAGGGTGAGGGTCGTCGCTGGCATAACAGCCCACAAGCTGTTGTAATCTTCCCTGGGGCTTATATCTGGGGGTTCCAGATTTCTCCGTGTTGCATTTAAGGTAATGAATTATTTTGATAAGAGATTAATCCCTTTGTGTTCTAGCCAGTCCTCATAGTTTGGAGGGGCTAGGCGTGGCTGGATTTATTTCTTCATAGGTATGTTATTTATGGCCATAACTATACGCGTGACACCAGATGCACGAACAGCCCGTATGCTGTAGGTTTGGTTGCATTCGAGAGAAGCCGTCACGTTCACAAATAGTATGGTTTATTCTTATGCAACATCTACAAATTCTTTGATATTGCCTACGATAAATGCACAAACTGCAGGTTGACTATATAGCAGTCTCCTTCCCCCTTCAAATCTAGTTTGAAGCTGTCCCAGTAGCACCTTCTCTTCCATGTGGTCAGAAACATTCTCCAAGTAAACTCACTCCAGGATTTTCCCAGGGACTGAAACGAGGCTGGCAGGCAACCAGTTCTTCACGTTGTCTTTTCAGCCTTTATTGAGGATGGATGCAATGTTTTCCTTTTTCCAGTTACCAGCAGTTGCTCCTGATCTCTGTCACTTCGAAGATGACACAGAGCAGCCTTTCAAGGGTGTCAGCCAGCACACTTAGAACACTTGCATGCAGCCTGTCTGATCCAATGGACTTGAATGACTTCAATTCCCTTGAGTCGTTCCTGACTCAATACAGTTCTCCTCTGGTGTAGTCGTCATTTTCCTCCTTGGACACTGTTTGTAAGCGTAGAGGCCTTGGGAACCTTGCTGGTGTGAAGACCGATGCAAAGAAGATACTGAGTTACCTGTGTCCTGTTGCTTATTCAGCCTCCCTGTCGAGCACTGGGTCTACATTTTCCTTGTTCAGCCTTTTACTACTAAGGTACTGGAAACCTTCATGTTGCCTTTAATGTCCATAGCAGGTCTCAATTCCAAATTACCTTTGGCTTCCTTAACACCATATCTACATGTCCTGGGCTGTATTTCTAAATTTTTCCTTCTTAGCCTCTCTCCACTTCCATGTCCTGTATACTGCATTTGTCTGCAGTGGAGCTCCACCATGAGCTACCTCTTTACCTGGGCTTGTCTTCTGATAAATCTACTTCTTTTTCTGAGTATTGGGATGAACCATTCTTGTCCTTGAAGAATGCTCTCCTTAAAGACCTGCCACCTTTTCTGAGCTCCTTTGCCTTTCAGAGTTGCCTCCTCCCATGGATGCCCACCTATCAGTTCCTTGAATATGCCAAATGTTGCTCTTCTAAACTTTGTGGTCTGTCCTCTGCTAACTTGTCATCTTTTTTATCTTCAGGATCTTGAGCTCTGTTATTTCATTGTAATTATGGCAAATACTACATCCCTGACTAGTTCTGTCCTGGTTTCAGCTGGGATAGAGTTCTTTTTCTTGAGCTGGGAGAGGGCATAGCTGGAGCTCTTGACCCAGATTTCGGCCAAGATAGAGTTAATTTTCCTTGAGCTGAGAGGGGGCACAGCTGGAGTGCTGGGCCTGGACTGGCCATTCAAATATTCCATATCATGCAAGGTTATGCTCGATATATAAAGAAGGCGGGGTCTCTCTTGCTTCTGGTCTGTGTGCATGACAGAATCTTTGTTCTGTCAGGATTGCTGGCCAGGAGCGGTCTGCAAGTGGTGAGCAATCGCACTGTGCATTACCTGACTTCCTATTATTATTGTTGTTTTGTTACCATCACTAAACTGTTTTTTATCTCAGCTTTTTTTTCACAAGTTTTTTCCTTGTGTCTCCTTCCCCATTCACCAGGCAGGGGAGGGGTGAGCGACCACTGTGTGCTGTTTGGCTGCTGGCCAAGTTCAAACCATGACAGGTTCTTGTCTGTGAATAGCAGATCCATCTGTGCATCACCCTGTATTGGACCATCCAGTACTGCTGTCAAGAAGCTATCCCTGGATTGCTTGTGTTCCACTAGCAGATGCCAGGGAGAGCAGATTTCTTCCTCATCCCCTGCCCCGTATAGTCAGGATTTGTTGTACAGAGACTTCCTTGGGTTATTTAAAGACTTGATATGCTTTTTTTCATCCTGCTTGGGTGTTCTGAAGCAAATACTCACCATGATACTGTCCTTCCCATAGAAGATCCCTTTTAACAGAGGGCAACTCCACTCCTCATCTTCCCTGACTGTCTCTCTTAAAGAGCTTGTGTCCATTTATACAGCACTTCAATTTTGTGAATTGTACTATCACATCTTCATTATTCCAATTGTTTTACAGTTTTGCGTCTTCACATGGACCTCCAGATCTTAATTAGTCTTCTTCCAATAGTAGTGATTGTCATACTTTGTTAATGGGAAAGGAGAGAAAAAACAAAAAGGTCTGTTAGAAAAGAGGAGTGCAGCCTACGAAAGAAGCCTAACTGTGAAGACAGTCATGTGGCATTTTCTCTTTTGCAAAATTTCTGATACAATAATTAGAATCTTATTTTTTTGCAGGCTAGCAAACCTGAAAAAGTGTTACCTGTCAATTCCCTGAAGCTTTATTTTGGAGTGAAAAAGAAAATGAAGCCACCAACGAAGTAAGAATAGAAAAGAAAATAATTTAAACACTCTGTGGCAAGGTACTTGTAGTATCATCAAGAAAAGGGAACATAAAACACTGTGGAACAAGGAAAAGCCAAGAATCCACTTGAAAATATGCTGAATTAAATTACCCTCTATAATGTTATTGTTCTGTCTCTATCTCTGGTTTTTGTGTTCCATGTTAACTCTTCTGTTCTAGGAAATTACTTTATTGATTGGCTTTTCTTAATCTTATGTGTGTTATCTCATGTGGATATGTTTGCTGCTAGCTCACTTAGTTTTGTAGTATGTGTCCTGCATTTCATTGGTGGGCGAACCTTCTTTGCACCAAGAAAAAAAGAGAAAAGAGAAAACCAACTAGTCATTGCCTTAAGTGACAGATCCTATTGCTCAGTAGAGGATTTTCCTTTTTCAGGATTCTTGTTCTTTTGATGTTTCTTCTAGCTGAAGACTACAGTGTCCTTTACAAACATCAGTGACTATGTTTCTGGAAAAGAGCAGTGAAAAATGACACCTGTTTTTCTCAGATGTTTCCAGTACTTGTTCAGTCAAAGCTCTGAGTCACTGAGACAGTGCACATAGGGTCCTATCCCAAAGGGATTCTAAGTTGGCTGTAGCCTTTAAACCAATCGGCTTGAACTTCAGCTTTACAGTTGGCAAATCAGAACGCCCCAAAAGGTCTGTAAATTTCAAAGCTTAGTTGTGTTAGAGAAAAAGTTAGCGTGGGTTGTTTTTTTTTTTTTTCCAGTTAAGCACAGAATGACTAGGAGATTAGTGCAAAACAGGAGTAATTATGTAAACAAGTCTTTGCAGGTGGGTTCTTTCCTTAAGGTTTATTTTCAGTCTACTATCAAAAGCAGACTTTGCAAAGTCTCTTCTGGATCTCAGAGGTTTCATTGTGCACCTAGTCCCTTCCCCCCCACCCCCAACTATTATTAAGTCTTTGTAAACTCTTGTGATTAATTCTGTTTATAGTGCAAGCATTCTTCCCTCTGTGACTTCCACAATGTAGTGGACACTTTGCTGGGCACCATCTTAGTTTTACTTCCAGAAGCTTTCAGAAAGTATAGCCACAGCCCAAATTAGATGTTAGCCATCATTTGCAGGACTTGGCTATAACCCTTTGTCCAGAACTGAATGTTCAATATATTTGAATCAGCTGTGAGAAAATTAGTAAAATCGATCATCAATTTCAACCACAATTTCATTCTAGGTTTGGAGTACACATTTAAACTTTGTAAATTTTTTTTTCCACTTAGAAGCACTATTTAAAGGTAATGAGTCTCTACAGTTTGAGGAATATGTCCCTGTCTTGAGTTTCTGGAACTAATTTTTGAAAATTTTATTTATTTCAGCTGGGGACTTGCAGTATTTTCTGAAAAGCACCAGTGGTAGGTAAACATGAAACACCATTGATTTAACTTCAGTGTTTAATATTTGTTGAAATGTTCAGTTTCAAAACAAGTATGTTTGAAAACTAATGGACATTATTTTGCTTGGACGTTGAATTTTTGCTGTTTTTCTTAATTAACTAAAATCTTAATTCATATGATTTGGTAATCCTTTAGGGTTGGGTGTCTGTCTCTCTTTTGTGGCCATAAAGCAAATGATTTTCATAAATGTAGAATGATAGATTTTAAACCTATGTACATGCTTTAAATGAAACACATGCTTCAACCTATGATGATTTGAAGGAAGTATATTTCCCTATCTTTTTATGGGCGTGTTAATAATAAATATAGCAACATTCATAAACAAATGTAAGCACTTAAGTTGTTTAGAAGCCTATTGGTTAATAGTTTAACTGCAACAGGAGTTTTTGTTATGTTTCTTGTTAACTACGTTTTACGTTATAGGTATATATGTTGTGATGGAAAAGATGCACAAATGGAGTGGATGATCAGCATTTTTACTGCACAGGTACTAATCTGATCAAAGAAATGTAACTTTTACTGCTGTTATATGTATGTATTACGGATGTTACAGATAAAGTTGCAATGCCAGTAAAGTTTCTGGAATACTCAATGTAATAAAACTGCAAAAAGATGGGTCTTTTGCAGTAATAAACCTCTTCTGGGTGAAATTCTGTCCATTGACCTACAGAGTGTTTCTGTTTGCCACAACGCCTGAGTGCAGTCATGAAAGAAGAGCGTCCTGTTTAAAAACATATTGGTGTGAACTAGCTCTGTTGAAGAGCTGTGCCAATACAGTTGTATTTCTCTGGTACCCAGGTTAGTTTAGTTAACACTGACAATTTATTGTGTTGGATAGGCATTATCCTGAATTAATGTAATCTGCTTGCTACTAGATTGTGAGTCCAGAGGGTGTATGCTTGAGTGCTGTGTAACAACACATCCTTGCAAATGGAGTTTAATATTTACACAGGAGGAAGTGGAAGTAAGAGAAATGGGAAGAATTCAATAGGAGACTGAAACATAGTTTAAGGTTTTAAAAGGATTTTGTATTTGTGTCTGATTTTTCTTCTTTCCTGTGTTGTTCAAGGAACCTTGTGGAATATCACCATGAATAGACATCACTAGTTTTATGATTACCTGTGGGCTTTACATATTACATAAAGTGGACTAGGCACAAGTCTTTTGCAATACATACTTCTTAGAGGCTTTCTAAACCAGAATCTGACCTTCATAGATAGTAGTGCTAGAAGTATAATGCAAGTAAGACTTCCAAATTTTTGTCTTATTCGGCTCCCTTAACTGAAGTAACTACTGTAGTTTCTATGGAAACAGCCACTGGTCATGCCGTACATCTCATGGGCCTAACATGAGCAGTGTCACACAAATAGGCTCAGAGGTTATTGATATAGGCTACTTAGAAATAACTCATACAGGCTTGGTAACTGTTGAAATCCTTTTGATGTAAAATCACAAGAAGGGCAATCTGTTAGGATTCCGATCAGGTAGTGTGGGATGTAGAACGCTTCTCTGACAATACAGATAAAAAACCTGAGAGACACTCCTCAATGTTCATGATATTTTTTCTAACAAAAAATTTAATGTGTATTTAAAAAAAAAAAAAAAAAAAGCTGTGAATTAATACTATTTTTTAAAAAACCTGTGTTCTCATGAATGAACAGTACAGTGAACTAGCATTACTAATGAGCTACATTGGGAGGGTTTTGTTTTGGGTTTGGGGGTGTTTTTTTATGGAGTTTGTTGGGTTTTTTTTTTGTTTGGTTTGGTTTGGTTTGGTTTTTTTAATCAGCATTCTGGACATCAGTAAAGTTGTCCATCTTTGAATTACATGAGAAACTAAGTGCTAACGATGCAGATTTACTGTATTGTTCTTATTACAAGCTACTGCTTTAAACATAATTTACAGTGAAATTCTCCTTGAAAATGCAATGGCTCATGTTGCTAAAGCTTACTATAAAATCTCCAAATGTTTTGTATCATGCAGCAGACAATTATCACACTATCCCATTTCTAAACCAGAAATCTATAAATGTCAACTGAGGTTATTTCTAGTTAGAATTTTCAATCTGAAGACATCTTTAGGAGGACAGCTTATCTTTTATCTGCTATCACAGTATTTGAACTCCTTTATGTTAGAGAGACTGCAGGCAACACATTTTGTCATTGGAATAGTTTAGATTACAAATTGAAAAATAAAGTAGGTTTTGAAGCGTTAAGACATGACATTTAATGATCCAGAGCAATTAGGAGAGACATAAATGTTACTGTGCTCGTCAGTGCTTGAGCAGAATAAGATTTTATTGGTAAGGAATATCAGTAGAATAGTTGTACTATTGTTATCCTCTTCCTCCTGTTTTCTGATAATGTTTATTCCTGTAGTATAAATGTTCTGGAGAATATAAGTAGCAAAGTGTAGGTACCACTGTCATCTAGTAAGAAGAATACTTTTGATATAGAAAATCAAGTTAGCTCGGAGGTTTTTAATCTTGTACTTTAAGCTGGTAAATACAAGGAGGGTTTGAAGAAGGACCATTGTTTCTTTCAGTTCTATGCAAAATCATCCTCAAAAGCATGGCTGAAACTTGTTTCTTGAATTCTATAATAGTTTGTACAAAATCACTTAATAGCATATGTAGCATACAGTTGGAAGTAATTAATTGATATGAAGGTGGACACAACAATATTCTTCCAGTTCCATTGCTTTTGATCAGCTAGAGAGGCACATTTTATTACCATGAAGTGCAGTTGAGCAGAAAGGTCAAAACTATGAATAAATGCATTTATTATGTGGCCTAATACGTTGCTAGTATTTCTGATCTACATTCCCAGAGTTCTATTTTAAGAAATGTTACAGACACAAAAGGGAAATTAGTCTGCTTAACTGACAGCGATAGTTTCCTTAAGCTTGCTGAGAATTAAAGGAGGCAGTTGCTTCACTAGCTGGCTTAAAGTTTCTCAGTCGCTTTCTGAATTGCATATTTCTTGTATCGGTCCACAGTAAACTGATTTTGGTGGGCAAGACCTGCTCTTTCAGATAATACCTTCTCAATGTTTAATTGGAAGAAAATGTTCTTAATGTTCACTGGGGAGAGCTCTTAGAACTGACTTTTACATCACCCTGGTCAGCACCACGTGTGAGAATTTTTTACTCCAGAAAGATGTGAATCTATAAAATATTTTTTCTAAATTTGGAATTGGGGCTTTGGTTTCTAGACTGCTATTCTAAGTTAATAAGCACTGATTCTGATGGCTTCTTGATAGTAATGCTGTTCTTACTTGGAGACCATCTGCAAGTATGGGTCACAGCACCACAACTGGATTTTTGTAGATAGTCTTGAAGAGACTTCTTGTTTCATAGATTTGGAAGATTGAATACCATTGAAAAAAATAAAGGACGACGAAGATCCTGACATCTGTGGAAAGAAATCTTACAGATTTGGACAGTGTCACAGAACTGTTTAGGTCAGAAGGGACCTCTGGGAATCATCTTGTCAGATCCCTCTGTTCAAAGCAGGGACAGCTAGAGCAGTTTGCTCAGGGCTGTGTCTAGTCAGATTTGAATAACCAGAGACTCCACAACCTCACTGGGCAGTTTTTTCCAGTGTTTAACCACTCCCCCAATAAAAAAAGAGTTGTTTTTTTCTTAGGTTCGGGCAGAATTTCTTGATTCCTATTTATTATAAGTTATGCTTTGAATTAGTATTTTGCCAATATTTACACAGAGCATTCTCAGCTTTTATTAGTGTTTATTTGCAGTTCTGGCTTGCCCATTTCCTTTACAGTTGTGCTGATTTGGCTTTGTGCACTCATCTCCAAGCTTTAGAAAGTACTCTTCTGTAGGCCTTGTACATCCTCTGATTCACAGAATCTCATGTTGAAGCTTTTTCAGGAAAATACTCTTACACTACCTTGTCCTCAGAGCTGTCTTTCTGGTTACCATTAACATCACCAAAGGACTCTATGAGCTTCAAGCACATGTGCTTGAATTTCTACATGTTAAATTCTACATGATTTGCTAATGAATGTTCATTATAGACCTCTTACAGAAAGAGGTTTTAACATTTTATTGGAAATATTCAGATAATGTTTTTTCTTCCCAGTCATGTTTTTCACTCAGAGTGAAGCTTCACTCTTTGGAGGTCTCCCCAGAACTGACATATTTCAGTAGTGCTAAAACAAAGGCTATTATTGAAGCCAGATCTGTTTATTTAGACTGTGGTTTTGGAGCATTCAGAATGTCAATCCATTTCCTTTTGGATAACACATGTCGTTGTTGTAGGTTAAGCAATTATTTTCTTCTAAATTATTAATATAAGTTTTGAAATACTTGTTTGCAAATTGGGGTAATTTTATTTCAGAAATTTTTGTTGGGAATCCTGTAGAATTTTGAAATTGTGAATCATGTCAATGTGTGTGTCTTGTTTGTTATTTTCTCTTCTTAGAAGCTAAATGGAATAATAATATGGAGGGAAGATATTTGATGCATAAAAACTATACAGAGACATTTTGGTTCTCTTCACTCAGTATTGTGTAGTGCTTACAAAATGTTAAGATAATTTTAAGTACTATAGTGTTTTCACCCTTCTCCCACAAGAGGATTATATGGTGTTGTGCAGTAGATAGCTTTTTCAAATAAAGTTTTACATACAAAAAGACGTTGTGTTTTTGCAAAATTCCACACCAAAAATACAGAATCATTTTGTTCTTCAGCATGCAGATATATGGCCACCTGTTGGAAAAACAAGAAAACAGTCTATAACTAAAAGTCCAAAGATTGGAGGCTTACCACTAATTCCCATTCATCAGGAGAAGAACACTTGTAAAATCAAAGGGAGTACTGAAGTAAGTGACGTTTAAACTTTGTGTAAAACTTCTAACCATAATGCTGTACTTTTAAATAATCCTGTAATAATGAACTCTCTAGAGCTGGATAACTATAAAATGTAGATGCTTTTGTTATTGGTGTCCTTTTCAATGTTTTATCATTAAAGGAACGGTTAGGTCAATTTAATGTAAAAAAATCATTGTAACCTAAAATTGTGTCACCTCTTTGTCTGTTCAGTAAATCAGTAGTGGCTTTTTATTTGTGTTTTGGGTTTTTTTGAGCAATGATCATCCACTGGAAGTAAATAGGACTGTTGCCTGGAAATATAATGCACATTATTACAACGCACTTTATGGCAGTTCTATTTTAATAAGGTCCTTGAAAACTGTCCTGCATGCATATTTTACCTTATCTTTTCTTCCATCTAAAATAGCTGTTTTAGTTACCTGCTCTGTGAATGTAATGGAAAAGCTCGGATGGAACTGTGATACATTTAAGTTGTAATATTCTTAGTCTCAAAGAAGAACATGAGGGTTTAGTTACACTTTGCAGAGACTGAACTGTGTCACTGCATTACATGCACTAGTATTATGTCTCAACATTACCATATTAGCTTGAGATGAATTTCTGGTATCCACATAGATACTGATGCCTGTGGGGAGGACTTGCCTTACTTCCAGCTGAGTGGCAGTCGAGGCACTGTTCTGCTTTGGAAAAATAGTGGTAACTAATCTGAATGCAGAGAATAGTGTTGAAACAAAACAGCTTGGTCCTTTGAGTGCATGCAGTGTTATTTCTTGCATGTTCTAGAAGGTTTTGAAGGGAGGTGGATAATATGGTATGTGTTATCACCACTTAGAGAGACAGTGTTTCAGGTACAGATTGGTGAAGCTGAGTCAGTTCCATAGCAAATCAAAAGCATAGAGAGAAGTAATACTTTATCTAAAAGGAAACCCCATCTTTCGTTACACTTTCTTCAGGCATTTCTATTCTGCCTTACCAAATGAGTATGATACTGTGTGAATGTGATTATGGTTTTCCTGTTTTGTTTAATTTGTCCTTTCATTTTAACCTTCTCTCAGGTAGTACTTTGGCAATTCTTTGATAAATTCCTTCTAATGTTCGCATTTTTAAACTTAGGTCTTGTCATTCAAAAAACTTCATAAGCCTTAGGTATGTCTCTTACCAGTCCTTTATGCAGGTAGAGTTGAGATCTCTCATACATTTTACTGAGATGTCTACAAATTCAGACATTCTAGCATAAAGGTTTATTGGATTTTGAGCTTCATGATTTAAAATCTTCAATAACTTATAGTACTAAATTATTATTATTATTATTATCATTATTATTATTATTATTGTAGTTAATAATGTGCTTCATTAGGAAGGATTCTAATGTTTTGTACACTAAAACTTAGAGGAAGTCTGCATTTATAGTTAAAAGATTACAATTTTCATTATTTATGTCATGACTAGATCTAGAGAAGTTTTATGCAAAGGATATTTGTGGACTTTATGAAGGTTATCACAAAATTATATAACGGAAAATTAAAACACTTTTTTTTACATGAAAAGCCAAAACTAGTATAAACAGTAAAATAGTGGTGGGAAGTAAGTGTATGATATGGTTTATTGAGGAGAAATACTGTACAGCAGTGTAGTCAGTAAAGCAATAGATACCCATTTGGAAACCGTACCTTCAGTCTTTCCATGGATTTGTAGTACTTCTCCAACAAGTAAAAATATCTCCATGTTAAAGCATTAGAGAGTAATAAGGAGCAAGCATTTCCTGAAAGATGCTGGTTTATGAAAAGTGGACATCTGTTTACAGATCAGTGTGTAAACCTCTAGTAGAAATGTCATCAAAGTTATCTTCTTGTAGGCAGAAAAAGAGACTGAAAATTTTCCAAACAGTGAAAAAGTGACATCTTTGTGGTGTGAAGATAAGTGGGGGAAAATAACCCAACAAACAACTCAAAGATACCCATAGATCAATGTTTAATATTAATGTTCTGTACTAAAAAGGCTATATTGAATGTCTTCCTTTTTCCCATTATTGGAAGTAGTTTTATTGTGTGCTAATAAGATAAATATCTAATACAGAAAGTTTTAGAACACTGTATAACTAAGAATCCTTCTAATAACAAATAGAATCAAAAAGTTTACATTATTTCTGCACCACTTGTTACATACATAGATAGTGCATCTAAAATATGCATATTTATCATATAGAATGATTTAACTGAAATAGAAATACATTCCTGCATATCTGCAGTAAGTCTGTAATTTCATTTCAAAATACGAGAAGATTGAGAAATGAGGAAAAACTTTCTTTCAAGCCATGGTCAAATACCACAGTGACTTATAATACATTATACTTCTGTAGCTTTTTGAAAGGAATAGTGTGTCATGGGGATAATGGAAGATGCAAACAGATAAGAGTTGCTCCATATTTTTTTGCTGGTGATGTGCAGAAAAAAAGAAAAAATGTAGTTAGATATGCATATTATTATCAATTTATTCACCAATTACTTGATCATAGGCCTGAAACTTACAGGCAAACAGCTGTTTCTAACATGAAATTGTTGCCTTTACATTAGGACTTATTGAGAGAAAAGTATGGAGTCCAGCAGTGTAATTTATAGCATATTACTAACAGTGGGCAGTGGATCAAATACTAAGAAATAATATTATTAAGAAGTTTGATGTGGCAGTTTTGTTCACACATCATTTTGTGATCTGTTATTTATAAAGGAAACTGTAACTGTTGGTGCTTTAATTTGAACAACAGAATTTGGCTCCATCAGTTGAATGTTCTTATGATGCAAATGTCTGGGAATTAAGATTCTTGTATATACTGAATCTACTTTAAAAGTTCAAAATGTTGAGTAGTAGTCTGTGTTAAGGGGCTACATGCCAATGTACAAGACTGTTTCAGAGAAGTAGGCAGCCTTCAAATTTGAGTGCTGTATTTGATCTGTTCCTACTTTCATTATAACATGGGCTCCTGCTATACTCATGTTAGCAGAACTATACTGATTTCAGAAGTGTAGCTGTTTTCTTTTTTTGTTTTCTTTTTTTTTTTTTTTTCCTACAAAGATGCAAGATTGAAGCATCATATAAAAATTCTGTAAATAGAAGATGGTTGCTCCTGACTGAATATCACAAGTAATTAATATATTTGTGTGCTGAGTAAGTGAATAGCTTGGAATGTGTTACTGTGTTTTCTGAAAGATACTGCATGACAATTTGTATTTCACATATTGCATGTATATTATCACAGATAGTCCTTTTATTGTTATTTTATTAATTGAACATGAATCACTGGTGCTAATCTCACCGTTTTCTTGTTCTTGCAAGAACATTATTTTAAATGGAAAATAACAGCTTTTTCAAATATTTGGCAGAAAAGAACCCCCCACATTCATGAGTCAGTGGGACAGCTCCTCAGTTGCCTTGAACTTTTTTTCACTGAATGTAGCTGAACACATTAAATATTAGGATTCCTCTTGCTGTCTTTGGTGATAGCAGAGATTCTAAACTGATAGCAGTTGTTACTGATGGCAGTAGAAATTAAAAGTCTTCAGGCAAGCTAAGATCTACTGCATAAGATGCACCAGTGGTAATCCAAGTAGCAGTATGAACTCTTGTGTACATTGATATTTTGGGACTGATTTTTTTTTTTTTTCCTGCATATCTAGCCACAGGTGCTTCATGATATAATGAGTAATTTTCATTATTGGTGAATGACAATAGAAATACCAGCCCCCTTAATGCTAAAAGTTATTCAATAAAATAACCCCTTTATCTGCTCTTTTAAAAACTGTGATTTATATCATCTAAATGTTTGTTTTTATTACTATTGAACAGATGCTAGTTCAGGTGAAATTTCAAGAGACTGCACAAAATTTGGACTTTGTTTTATAGCTTAAATCTCTTCAATGTAAACTCATTTAATATTTACTGGTTTTCTTCCTACACAGCAACTAATTTGCTGTATCAACACTCAGTTTTTGTAATGGGCTTATGTTTGCTGTCTTTATGAAGAAACAAATGTCACTGTAAAACATATAAGGCAAATAAAAATGGTAGAAGGTTTTATTGTATTCTGTCTGCTCAGTTGGTGTGGCAGTAGGCAGATCGTTCCTTTTGTGGAAGAGCCTTACAGTTCTCGAAAAAAAATGAGGTCTTGGAGTTATTCTTTCATGTATGGCATCTTTGTTGACTACCTGAAGATATTCAAAGCTGAGGGAGACTTTGGTTCTTTTTGTCTTCCTGTGTGGCACTTGTTCATTTTAGCTGCATTTTTATGGAGTTATTTATCCATAGCATACAAGCAAGTTGTCTCATGGAATCTTGGTACCTCGTATATGTTAAAGTAAACATGAAAAAATATTCAAACATTAGAGAGGAGCTAGTTTAGATACATCTACATGAGTGTTCTAGTTAGGATTAGGAGTGCACTTTAGGAGCAAATCTTCCAATTGTTCCCATTTACGGTGTTTTACTGGAGTGGAGTGGTTCTGGAGCATGTGAATTTGGATTGTTTTCAGATGAAACTGAAGTTGAAGATGTTTTGCAGGAGCGTATCTAATGCATTGCACCTAAAGATAAGCCTTTTGCCAGTAGAAGTCTAACACTACTACTACACTTGGAAGTGTATTTAGAAAAACAAAAAAAAAAAGACAACAGACCTGAAATAGTGTTAGTGTGGATGTCGAGTTCTGAGCACTTCTCTTTCACTGTACAGATGTGCTCCTAATGAGCTCCACCAGTTGCAAATTCAGATGCAGCATATGATTTACCTTTCATTTCCTACAGCTTAAGAACTTGAAAACAGCCCCCAATGTGGAACAGTTACATTGCCATCAGTTTGTTGTTTTATCTCCATTCCCAGTATGTTACTTAAAATTGCTAGCCAAAATTTGAAAAAGCAGACATTCTTTATAATTTATCAGCTAGTACTGAACAGCTGCTGAAAATGTTTATGTGATCATGTAAAATTATCTTTTGTACATTCATGTAGCTTAGTCATTAAGTTATCAAAATTGCAACATTCTCAGTTGTATTTGTTCAATTTAAGAAGAGTTTTAAGAGTTTTAAGAGTATATGGATCTACTGTAAAACATTAAAATTTAGTCTACTGTGGTAGAATGAAAAATCAAATTGTGAATATATGAAAATGAATGCCTTCATTGTCATGGTGCATTTAATTGAGAGATTTATATAATTTTCAGAAGTATCACTCATTGAGAAAATATGCTCACTAAAAATGCTTACTAAATTCTAATAGCACAAATTGTGGGAATTTAAAACTATTAACTGTGCTGTCTCAGCTCTTGAGTAAAATTGATTTTTCTTTTAAGCTGTTACGTGAAACTAATGAGCAAAAATTGCAATCTAAATATTATTGAATATTGTGTGAATATGAATGATCTGATTTCTCTCTTTGCTTGTTTGCTCAGAATATAGAACTGCAATCTGGCAACCCAAAATTCGGTGAGCATCATGAAAATGACTTTCTGGAAGAAAGAAAAAACTTGAAAGAAAAAGCATCTATTGTGGCACAATGTTTGGAACGGAAGGAGGAGAAAGTGAAAAGCCATGCAAAAACACATCCGAGCTTGATCTCTGTTGAGGATGTAGGTGCAGGGATGACTGACCTACACCAAAGATCACGTAAGGCACTGAAGAAAAGTAAGAACAAAGCAAACAAGACTGCTTTGGCATTGGATAACAAATTACCATCAAATGTGATTCAGGAACTAAATACAGTGCTGCAGAAGAACAGAGCACTTAATGATGAAACCTCCAGCTGATTTCCTGAGTCTGAAAGTTTTTATATATATGTATATATATATATATTTATATACACACATACACAGGTATGTGTATTTTCTGGGCAAAAGTAGTCTTTTTTGATGTGTGTAGTTTGTACAGTGCAGAAGAATATAATTTGTTTATATGCAGCTGTTGATTTTGTATATGCATATGCCATATGTTATAATTTAAGATTGAACTGAGAGAACTGATTATGTAAAACTCCAGAAATTTGTAAGTTTTCCTGTGCAGTGCAATGACACCAGATTTTTGTCAGTTATTTTTTGTTGATTTTGTTTGATGTAATAATTCTAAGCACTATCAAAAACTTTTGCTCTGTTTATATTCTGTACCATCTTGTAAGTACTGGAGAGATATTTTGGAAGGAAGCCAAAATATACGCTGAAATTCATACTGTTGGCCTGCAATATTTTTAATTATCTAACACCATAAAAATGAGTAACGTCTGCTTTGAAAAGTGACTTTTGCATGTATTTTTCTTTTTAATTTAAGAATAAAATTAGTGTCTACTTCCATTGATTTTTCCTCTGACAGAGTGGCATGTGAAAGAATCAAAAGGAGAGGAATGTAGCAGATAAGACAATATATTAGTTCTTGTATCTCTAATCTCTGTCTATAGTGGAGTCCATCAGATTATGACATCTAAGGGAATGAGAGAGAATACTGAGGATGGCAAAAAGAAGTCTTCAAAGCAACATCTAATTTAAAAGGATGTATGAATTGGAGGAGTAGCACAATCTCTTTTTGCTCAACTGGCTGAAGTAATTTTATGAACAGACCTTGGTTAGCTCAGAGTGACAAAGGCAGACTTTTCTGTCACTGTTTGGATAGAGCTTGCTTAGTGCTGACAAAGTTGCTCACATCTGATGAATATTTAATTCTCATCTGAGAAATTAATTTCCTTAAGAAAAAATGGTCCACACCCAAACATATCTATCAGAAGGGTAAATTAAGAAGTGCCGGTTACTAAATGGATAAGAAGATTAACCCCTCCCTTTGTCATGAAGACAAAGATGAACAGCATGCTGTTGGCAGGGACTAGGAAATGCTTGTGCTGCAAGTGTAGCATGGCTCTTCTTCCTGGTGTGAGGAGAGGTCCCAGGGTTGAGACAACAGCCTCATTTGCTGCATTCTGAGTATGTAGGTCACAGTTCCTGAAGACATGATGCACTGCCCTGCAGCTACTTTGTTTTTTTGAGTTCCTTAAATTTAAAAATCAGAATCTGGGTTCAAAACAAAGCCTGTGAGAGCGGTGAAATGATTTACAGCTGTTTTGTGGATCTCACCTTCACTTAGCCTATGGGATTGCCTCCTTCCTCTCTCATGGCATATACCAGTTTTTACTTTGTCCCATAAAAACTGGATGGGCAAAAGGCACTGCTGTGCTGAGGCTGTTTCCAGGTGAGGCACATGTTATCTGGTTAAGCAGCAGGACCAACAGAGCAGAGAGCTAATGAGCTCACGCTACACCCTTGCTTCAGGGGAGATATTAAAAACATAATCTGCTTTATTTTGCTGCTGTCCCTTTTGTGGTCTGATTAACTACTTTGCCACAGATTTTCACCAGCCTTTTAAGAACTTACTGACTACTTTAGTGTTCCTCAAGTTTGATTGGAATTGACTCTAAGGTAGATGAGAGAATTTTAAGCTATTTCTTGTTTACTGGAAATTGTTCGAAACAGTCTCTTAATTCCTTAAAAATTCAGAGCAAAAATTCAGTTAATCAGCATCAATGACATTTGATTTTTATTAATGGATAGTCTTGAGGATGCTTTATGTTACTACTGAATTTCTTCCAATGAAAAAGTAGTATGCTTACTTAACGTCTCTTCTATTTTTGGTAGCCACAGGTGCCATAACATTTCTCACATCACTTCTATTCTTGATTGCATTGAGCAGCTTAATTGGAAAAATAATTTGATTGAAGAAATAAAACAAATGACTGAGTGTAACTGGCAACTCTGCTACGAAATATGGGGAAAGCGAGATCAAACTCAAATAATACTGTTTTGTATTTGTTCTTCTGGAATGTAGCACTGACAAACAAGTTTCTTCTTTCAAACTTTGCACTTACCATATTTGACCAGTTGTTAAAAATTGAAATGAGTTTGTAAATTTTAATTTTCCCAGTGCACTATTGACTGTTTTGCTACCTTTAATTTGTAATTGAGTCTCTACTAATCATTGAGGCCCTGGCTCAAGAAAGCATATAAGCCTGAACTGATATTGTATTGACTAAAGTCGGTGCTTGATGTTAATAGGCACATTCTTAAATGCTGATTTGAATGAGGGCCTAATGCCATCAGGAGAAATTACTTTACTTTCTGTCCGATGCTGGACCTGAATGTACTGTTTACAGTTGTACTTCTATTTGCAAATATTTTTCACTATTGAGTTATGGTAGCCGTATTATTTATCTTTTTATTGGGTTCTTAAAAATGACATTCACCTCACTGCTGAAAGCCTCATGCATCATTTAAGGCCCTACACTAATGGAATAAATGGAGCAATGGAAGGGGTTTGTGCACTAAGTGACTGTGTCCATAAAGAAGATGTTTTGTATATTTTTATTAGATCTAAGGGCTACAGAAACATTTGTTCTATTTCAAAAACATATCACAGATAAAGTATCTGTATGGCTGCTGTTAAAAGGCCCAAAAAAATCAAGAATATGTTTACTAACACAAGAATATGTTTACAAAAAAATCAAGAATATGTTTACTAAAAACATGTTTAAATGTGGGTTTGTATGTGTATATACACAAATACTCCACTGTATGTGTGCGTATGTGCACACAGTTATGTGAACATCCACAGACACACGCTGAATGGTGACACGAGTTAACTCAAGAAAAATTTATTTGAAAAATTAGAAATTTAATTTGCAGTTAATTATTTTCAATAGGTATCACAAGTTTTGGACCAATTATCTGACATATCATTGTTGCACTACACATTTCAGGTTGATTTAAGACCTGTAGAATAAATGTGTATTGTTGAAATACCTTAATGGCTGCTGATATTTTATTGTTCCTGTACCACATTGTGGATTGGTTAAAGGATGTAGTTTTCAGAGAATAAATTGTAATTATTTGAATAAATGCTATTTCTCTAAAATTGGTGATAGATTTTGTTCAGAAAAAGTATTAAATCAATAAAAATATTAAAAAAAAAAAAAATCTATCTGTCTTTCCATATGAATGCTATTGAATAGCCGGGTAAGTGTTACTTTACAATCTGCAAAATTAAGTTAAATGATACACAGGTATTTTATGTATGGTTTTATAATGGTGTGAAGACTATGATTAAAATCTCAGTAAATCCCAGGTTCATCATTACTTGTTAGACTTCTGCAACCATCCTAGGTGTAAAGCTGACATTTAAGCATTGTTTATACTAATTAACATAATGCCAGTTTGCTGTTTGTGTGTTTTTTTTCACATTTATTAGGATGGGGAGGGAAGCAACCCAAAACCCAAAGAAAAATACAAGCTGGAATCTCTTTGTTTTCTTTTTTCCTTTAGTTGAGCTGAATATTGGCTACTATTTTGGAATTTTTCTTTGAAACAGATCTTTTTCCAATATATATTTTGGGCTACCAGTTTAGAGGAGCAGTTTGACTAACAGATTTTCTGCCTTTAGTGTGGGGTCGATTTGAACAGCTGAGATCTACAGAGAATGTTCATGCAGAGTTTACCTTGACTGTGTGACTCAAGTCAGAATTTCTGCATTGTAAGGTTTTGCAAATGTTATCCAGGAATCTGTCCAGTGGGGGAAGGATATCCCTAAAAATTTCTTCACTTAATGAGGAGGGCCTGGCCATATCGTTGATTTTGTTTCTTTGTGAAGAGCTCTGGGCTGTTTTGCCTACAGCCATTTGCTAGGATGCCACTGGCTCTCTGCCAGAGGCACCCCAGGAGTGCCTTCCATTGTCACATATGGGGGTAGTTTTGGACTGCTCTGCAGATACAGGTTTATCAGAGAGTAAAAGTTAAGGGAATTTTATCTCAAAGCTATGATTCTTCTCTCCCATGATACAGTGCTGGCACAGTTTGTGTTCCTATGAGGGCTGCCAGGGTACTACCAGATCCACATCTCAAGTTCCAAATTAAGGAGGCTGGGAAAAAACTTACACTATCTGCTGGGGATGGTGGGGGTGCCTGCAGAAGTCTGGAGGTAAGCAGTACATGTCTTATTGGCTGAGACACTTTGCTATGAGTCTGCTCTGTCATATCACCTTTCTGATTTTTAAATCCTGTTTTCCAGTGCAAACCTTAGTGGAAGAGAACAGTTATCAGACTGTTGCTGGCATGTGAATTAGAACAACTTCAGCTGTGCCTGAGTCCAAATGGAAACTGAATTAAAAAAAAAAATACCAAAAAACCCTGACTCAAGTTCTTGCAAGCATAGCATGCTCTAAAAAATACATTCAACTTGGGTTACTTAAGGCAAATCTGCAGTTCCAGTAAGTTACATTAGGAAACCTGAGCTATGTATGTGTGGGGTAGAAACATTACCTTGATGGATGGATGGAAAGTATTGCAAGTTCAATTGTTTGAAAAGATATGTACTAACTTGCAACACAGCCTATTGCAGCAAGATTGACTGGGAAGATGCAGAATGCTTAGATATGGTCTACACAGTATTCCTTCTTCTGACCCATCAAAAATATTCTCTGTGCTGTCAAAAAATAAGTATTTGTCAAACTTGGTTTTCGAGGCTAGCTTGTTCTCTGTAAAAAAGGCAGGAAGCCTTGCAAAGTTTTCTTCATGGTGCACACTAGATTTGGATGTGATACTGCTTTACTTGCAACTCCACTGCAAATGGAATCCACCTGCAGCTCACTTAAGGAGAAAAACAGTCCTGCTATTTTAGTTCTTGCCACTGCTGTAGCTTAACCATCTAGTTACTGTCTTTGCTGAAATTTCCTTGAGAATATTCCTGTTATGCTTTGCTGCTTGTATTTTACTAGAAAATCATGGCAACCTGTGATACTGAAGAGAAAGAAGCATGTGGATGTTAATACCACATTGCAGTAGGTAATT